AATGCACATGAATGTTGGTGTGTAACTTTATCTGGGTAAACCACCAGGGGTTAATTTTCATTCAGCAGGCTTCACTGTGTGTCCAGCATGGTTTGTGTTCTCATCTATCTGTGCGTGTAAGAGAGAAAGAGAGATTTTGCATCCTTCAGACAAGGACAGTAGGAAAGTTAACATCTGTCCTGAATGGAGAAGCACTGTGGGCTCTAAAAGAAGCGCAAGCAGCAGAAAGATAGCTTGTTAACATGTTGACTGAAAGCATGATATTGTATTGTTACAAATGTGGTTTAATGTGATACAAAGACTTAAATCTCTGTTATGCACCCATTGTTTCTCTGGTCTACCTTTCTTTTCTCAAGGCACTGCCTTTTGGAATATATGTAGGAAGTAGTTTAATGAAATATGGTCCTGCTCTTTTTCTTACTAGAGGATGAAACACACAGAAATACCCCAGCTTGATTTTTATTTACTTAAGAAACTTCTCAAGTTATCTGGTCACAAACAATTTTCTCTGATCAAATATCATTTAGACTTTCAAATTTCTCGAAGAGCTTCATGATTTTTACATTAAAACACATCTAAACAATGAATGATTCATAGATCTAAAGGTTAAAGTTTTTTGACATCTAAAACAAGCTGCCTTTCAGTGCAAGTTATTTTTTGTCTCTTTGTGTATATTCATCAATCTTTTGCAATTACCTATTTAAAAAAAAAAAATAAATTTAACCCTCCTGTTGTCCTCGGCTTATGTCGACCGAGGACAAGCCCTTAAAAAATATGTTTTTCAATTGCAGCTGCATACAGAAACTTTAATCTAACAGTCCTGCATCAGAACTATGGTGTGCACAACTCAGGGGAAGTTAGGCTCAAGCAATCCAATGTGAACTTTACAAAAGAAATAAAAATAACCAAACCCAGGCCTCAGGTCAGACTGACCGGAAGACTAAGGAAATCACAGCTGGACAGGCAAACAGTATGGAATGGCATCACTGATCTCCGTAAAACTGATATCTTTTCAAATTTCCCCCCCCTCCTGTTGCCCTCGGGTTGACATGACCCGAGGACAAGCCCTTATAAAACATTTTTTTAATTGCAACTGCATACAGAAACTTGAAATCTAACAGTCCTGAATCAGACCTACAGTGTTCACAACTCAGATGGAATTTTCTGCTGCAGCAATTCAAATGTGAACTTGACGAAAAAAATAAGAACAACCTCCTCTTGTCTTCGGGTCAAAATGACCCGAAGACAAGAGGAGGGTTAATTGATTTGGCACTGCTTTGATGGGAAGCAGAAATCTACTGCCCAGTATAGTTGATCCGGTTAGAAATTACAATTCAGGATGATTATCTGACATTGTTCTCTTAATCAAGGTTATCTGTTATGCATCAGCAGCATGATTTCTTTTGTAAGCGAGTTCAGGCATCAACATGAATGGTGTTGCCTTTCAAACTTCAGTTTCAGACTCACAACACCCACTGCCATTGCAGACGTTGCTGCAGGGGAAACCTGTCTGTATTCATGAAGAGTAAATGTGATCTTCAACAACGTTTGCTACTTTTCATTCATACAGGTGGAAAGAAAGGGGAACATTTCCTTTCTGAATGGCCTTTCCTTTACAAGATTGTTTTAAAAGCAAACCACAAATCCACCAAACTAAACATAACAGGAAGTGTTTTGTTTGGTTACCAAAGTGATTTACTTTGGCAATTCAAAGTAAATCACTTTAGATTACCAGATTATCTGGTAATAAAGGTACCGGTATGCACCATGTATGCAATCATACAGAATTGAATTTACTTCCTATTGATTTTTAATCGAGTCATTGATTTGACTCAGTAAAAATATTTTGAGAAACAAATTGTTATGCCATATCAAAAATATCTTTTGTGTTTAATCCTAAACTAAAGAAATTTTGTTTTGCTTTGCTCAATTTTACCCTTATTTTTTGGTTCACAATGTTTAATGAAAATACTATTCTCTCTGGACTTTCTGGACTTTTCATAATTAACTTTTCAGGTCAATTATGAATGTGCACTCTCTGGCAGTTCTACCTCATATATTTATTCAAAATGTAACTTTTGAGAGTATTTTAAGGGGATGAGGATCAACTGGATAATTTCATACCTTACTGGTTTAAAGTGTTCAGATATATTTTCCTCAATGCCACAAAGGAAAGAAATTAGCAAGATAATGAGACAAGCCATTTAAGAGTTAAATGTATAATTTGTAGTCAGCCATTTATGTGAATCAATTAAGAACCATTTCTCATTAACACGGCCCTGGCCAAGAGCAAGTATGAAAAGAAGTCGCAAAAGAAAAAAATATTCTTGAACTTTTTATGTCAGCTGTCCAACACGGTGGTGGGGGGCTGATGATATGCTTGTTTTTGCAGGCTCAGAACCTCACTCTGTATTGATTAAGTTGTCCATGATCTTGTCTGCAAATATTTCCAGTCAAATTTAATTCTGAAAGTTAAACGCTTAACATTCGGGTCATTCAACTTTTCAACAATCGAAATGATGATCGCTGAAGCAATGAATGAATAAAAGTAAAGGTAGTAAAAAGCACAGGCACTGCTGACAAGACTGCTGTATAATACTTTGAATCTCCCTATATGACATTCTGTCATGATTTCTGTGACCATACTTGTTTTTTCATTCTTGAGTAAATGATCATAAAGGTGAGGAAGATCAGTTGCACGTACATGTCTAGATAGTCCACATATTGGCATCTATAATGTTTCTTTATAGATGTGAACACCTTTTGTGATGTCCTTTTGTTTCCATTTTGCGGGTGTGGGTGTGATGGATGACAGTGGTGTTGAGGTTATCGCTGCTATCACAGCCCTGCTTTTAGATGCTGCTGGGCTGTACAGAATACATGACAGTTCTGATGAATGAGCCACATTTCACACTTTTAGACTGCATTTGATCTGCTTTCCACATACACGCATGTACTACGCACACAGAAATGCATTCAGTACACAAACAACACCGTCACAGGCAGCATCCAAACACAGTCATTTGGCTGATTTCCTTTTCCTACCCTCCCCCCTTTAAGGCAAAGCCTTTTATTCGATTATAGGCACAGCTGAATGATCAGCTGTCTTGATTTATAACATGTGAGACAGTTTGGAGTGATTAATCTCTCATCTGTAACTTTCACAACTAATTACACCTCCTCCTTCATTATACCTTCCCCCTGGCTCTGCTGGTAAAATGTTTTCAGACACAAAGTAAACTGTATTTATAGCAAACACTTGTCAGTTCTTACTTACCTCTTTTTTTGGTTATCTCCATTATCTCAAGAAATGCTTTGCTTTTTGTTAATGGAGAGAGGTAATTAAAACAATTAGAAAATTCATCAGAGGCTTTGAAATTAATTAATTGCTATTAATCCTTTTTAATCAAATGGCAGTATTTGACACAAGCAAAGTCTTTAGTTAAATAATACACTTTAATTGTGGATTGAATTATTATACCAATTTATAGCATCCATATTGTGATGTTGCACAAATATTTCCATCTTGATTTAGTGTTTATGTTGTAGTTTCTCCAAACATGCAGACTCAAGGGAAGTTTCATTAGAAATCAGGGCACATGGACTATCAGCTCTATTCATCATTGGACAGTCGTGCAGCTATTTCTATTCTATACTAAAAATGCAAAGGTTCTATATTTAGTTGAAAAATCCTTCCAGTCACTCTAATGTTGGCCTCTAAAAACATGACCCTTTCAGCTGCTCTCAGATGAAGACTTGGAAGCCTTTTCTGAAAGACGAGAGCCATCATAAGAAAGCAACTTCTAACTGTGGGTGTTGAACTTTTAAACATTGATGTTTTTTCACTTGAAATTATTTCTCTTTTTTGCTTCAGATTTGAAGATTTGACACAGTTACTTCCTAAGTGTTACATTTCTACTAACACACAACCTGTTTTATTTCTTTCTCAGCTGTAACAAGAATATTTTACTGGCTTAGTGATGTGACTTTTCTTTTATCTTTTTCACCGGCCTGTCAAGTGGACTGCCTTACACCAGGCAAAGTAAAGGAACCAAATGCAAAGCCAGGCATGTGACTGGGTCTTTATTGCAGATTTACAGCAACATGCTGTGACTTTCACATACCTACCAGGACGACCCTGCTCTCATAGCCTCTCTCATTTAAACAGCCTGTGTGTGGGCTCAAAGGGCCGTGTGCTGTTTAGTCAGCATATTACTATTCAGGGTAGATACAGCCTGTATTATCAGGATGAGAAGAGGGCATTGATCTCTATCAGCATGCATGGAGGGCAAATCCACATACAGACTGAAACTGCACTCATGTACTGTACACGTATTGAGCTCTGTTTCTTGCCGATTAATAAAATATTTGTTAAATATGCAATTATGTTACATTTTAAAAGCAAGAAAAAAATACCATGCAGAATCCTGTTATGGGATGAATGATGAAGAATGCTAATGATAATTACTTCTCTGTGGCAGATTAATTTCTCTCTCTGTGTGTTTGTTGAAATAAATTATGGCTGACATATTAGCAACATGCTAAAACAAAAATGGGATATTTAGGGAAATGTTCTTATCTTTATATACATTTTTTCTAAATATTGCAATATTTATACATAAATATTGCTATATGAGGGCTGAAAAAACAATTACAGCAATGAATATGTTTGCTTTTATCATCTAACATTCTATAAAATCAGAAAATGTAACCTTAGTTGATAAAAACAAAGACAGCTTCAATTTCAGTTGTTGAATTTTATTTCTTTATTAAATATTGAGATTTAATACCGAAATTTGATAGCCTAATTACAAAATTATCGTCTAAGATGATATTCAGACTGAAATTCGCATTATCGCATTTATAGAAAAAAACTTTATGCATTTTGCTTTAAATTTCTTAAGATCTTATTGTCACTACAACATGAGGAAATGTATACAAACCTTTTAAATTTTAAATTGTGTCAATAGATTCACAAGGTAATTTTTTGTTCTTTACAGAGACCCGGGAGGACCGCAATAAGAGACTGTTCAGACACTACACTGTGGGGTCTTATGACAACTTCACCTCATACAGGTACTGCCTTTGTTTCAGTGTCTCTGTGTGTGTGTGTGTGTGGGTGGGTGTGTGTGTGCGTGAGTCCGTGTGTGTGTGTGCGCGTGTGTGTGTGTGTGGCCATGCATGCTATGCTGCAGCAACTTTAATGGTCATGTCACAAGAAACTTTTCTCCCTGTTGGGCTAATAAAGTCCATGCAAAAAGGTGATGAAGTGCAGTGAGGTTGCTGCCATCTAAAGTAATGTAGATGTAACTGCACTCTCTTCTGTCTATTAAAAGCAAAGCAAATTATGTGACCTAGCTAGATTAAATTGCTGGTTTCAGAAGAACCATATCTGGTAAGTTAAACAACACTTTTAAAGTCAATATATGATTACAAACTGTGAGATATTGTTGCAAGTAGATTCATAAATGTTTGAAGATGAAAATTGTATTTGTTCTTAGAATATGTTTATTAATATATTCAGCTCATGAGCCAAGTCAATATATAATATTGGATAACATAAGACTTCACAAATATTTTAAATATCAGTAAAAAAGTTTATTCCTTTACTTAAACGGAAGAAAAGTTTCACAGGTCATAAGATGTCTGGTGGTAATTATCTCTTTGCTATAGAATTGTGTGGCTACGGTTCTAAAAATATACTTCTGAATTTACTTTTTGTACAAAGCAGCACACAGTTTTTAAGGGAAAGTTTTAATCATTTTCATAGGCTTTTTGGAAGAAAAATCTGAAAAGTATGGCATGCATTAATAGTCATCCACCTTAAGTCAAAGTTTTTCTTTTCAAAAACTTTGGAGGGAAAAATAATTACTGGCGTCAACAAGGATGTGTCAAAGAAGACAACAGTGAGAAATTTTTACAGAGGAGAACTTCAAGGTCACCATCCAAAAAGTATTCTGTACACCAATATCTGACTGAGCAGCAATGAATATGTGTTTTGAACGTCTTTTATGGTCTTTTATGATCGGGCTACATTAAGCTTCCTTTATCTTCTCATCAATTATGTTCAGCATCCCCACATCATGATACTGCCGCCACAATGCTTTGACATTTGGACAGTCCGTTTCAAAGTGACGTGCATAGTCCGTTAGAATCAAGAAGCAAAATTTTGGTCTGATCAGGTCCTTTTCCCACATATTTGCTGTGTCCACTACCTGAAATATGGCTAATTTTAAACCAAATTTCATATAAAAATATATTTTTTTATTGCGATTTTTGCTTAAAAGCCATATTTGTTCAGCTACTGGTTGAATGGTTCTTTCCAGATATTCTCCAACCTAAACTGTGAAACTCATCCAGCTCCTCCAGAGTATCGGCCTCTTCTTTCATTAATTCTGTTGTTGATCAACCTGTCAGTTTGAAATGAAGGCCATTATTTTGGTTGCTTTGAAGTTAGTTGGTATATTTTATAAAAATGGTCACATGTTAAACAATTACATTACCTACTGTTTGAGGCCTTATGTTTGACATTGCCTTACCGTAAGTTGTAGTTGTAGTTAGTCATATCTCATTTGCATACGTTTATTTTTTGAAAAACATTTGACTCTTTAAATCTGACTGTAAAATGTGAGTTTCAATTACAGAAGTTAATTATAAGCAAGAAAATAAAATTCCTATATTGCTTTTATGCAGAATTTTGGAGTCTTAGTTCAAGTGAGAATACATACATAGGATGTGACGGTTTAAAAAGACAAAGCTACTTACTGTTGCCTCTCCAGCACAGCATTGTGTGCATAATTATTAGCAGAAAGTGGATAGAGAGCATTTTATAAAATCAGACTCAACCTCCCTCCAGCAGAAAGGTTGGTTCCTTGTCTCCTGGCTCCACCAGCAGGAGCTCTGTGAGTCTGCGAGGAGTTTATTCAGTTGAGCTAATGAAACTGCAGCTCCCTGTCCAATTTGAACGCCACTGCTCTATATCTGCCTCAGCTGTCAACGATACTGTAGAAATGTTACAAAGACTTAGAAGGACATTTGTGTGTTAGTTGAATTATGTTTAACACACATACAAAAGATATTATTACTCTTGTTTGTGCACACTAGACTTCAGTAAATTAAGCACTTCTTCAAACTTTACTGTTGAACATTAGAAATGATCTAAATATATACTCACTGGCCACTTTATTACGCACATGTTTAAAGAAAGCACCAAAGTGATTTTGGTCCATTGTAACATTTGTGGACTGCACATTCATGATGCGATATTTTGGAGTACATAAAAATCAGGACGAGGCGAAGTTGGCACAGTGCAGTCATAAAGAGATGGGCATGGACAGGAGCAACTGCTACTATTCAAGTAGATTATAGTGTTTAAATGATGCACAACTGGTACTGAGGACCCAAACAGTGTCAACAAAATATAGAGCATAACATAACACCACCTGTAATGTGATTTTTTTGTAATTGTAATCTGTCTTTTTTTATCCCAGGAGGAATAGCTGATGCAGCACGCTGCTGATTCTAATAGGGATCTCAATAAACATAAATGTAAACCAGCCTGAATTGTGCATACTTTTCAGGAGTGAACTATGCTTTCATGTTGTTTGCACAAAATTCTGACCCTACTTCCTGAGCGCTATGGCTGAAATTGAGACGCAGAGCAGGAAATTATTTTTTTCCATGTGTTATTGTTGAAACCTGGTGAGTGTAAAATATAGCCTTAGTTCCTTATTCTCTGCAGACAGGAGCAGCACCCGGAGTAATCTACTGCTACTGTAGCCCATTTGCGTCAAGGGTCAATGTGTTATATTTTTAAAGAGGATTTTCCTCATATTGGATCTTTCATCTTTTCAGATTCCCTGAAACTCAGAGTTAAAGGTGAATGGAAAATGACAGATCAGCCATTTCTAATCAACCTATGTTGCTCCAACAACCAGTAACGTTCAGGTCACTTAAATCGCTTTTATTTCCCCATTCTGATTTACGGTTTGAATTTCAGCAAGTGGTTTTCACCACCTTTAGTTGCCTGAAGGCTCTGAGTTAGTTGACTGGTTTGCTGCTCGAGTTTGAAGCAATGAAGGAGGTGTAACTATTTAGGTGGCACATGACTGTAGTTGAATATCCATAATATCTGCAGTATTTCATTACGGAAATAATCCTTCTTGCAGTCAAGCGCTATTATACTTAGCAAACTTTTGTCTCAGAATTTAACAAGTCCATACATGAGAGATTTACTCTCCAAGGTGTGCGGGGACCAACAGTTTAAGACCGCCTAATAGCTGACATCCCTTAACACTCAGAAAATCAGGTAGTGATAAACTGCTTTGCTTTCTTTTCTCTTCTGTTTCTTCTGTGATCAGTCAGGGCACAATACAGCATCTGAGCTTAATCTGACAGTTTCTCTTACAAAATCCCTAAACACACTCCTCAGCGTAAGTCTCCAGTGGGGGATCATCTGGAGGTCTTAAGAGTTTATCCGAGAGATACAGTCCCTTTTACCTGCTTATTTTCTCTCACATTCAAACCTGTTCCTTTTGCCTGCCTCTAGGGAATCCTGAGCTGTGATCTTTTGCTTTGCTTTCAACCTCATTGGGAAAGACAGTACAAGCGTGTGCGTGCTCATCCATGTGTCTGGGTTGTGTGTGCCTCTCCACCTCCTCCAGCGACTCAGCCCCCGACCAGTCGACCCTCTTCACTCCACGGCCCTTTACCCTCTTTGTTTGCGTGTGCGACGATGGTGTTGAACTCACCCCTGCTCTACCTGTGCTATTTTCTCGACAGTGACTACATCGTGGAAGAGAAGAATGCTGTTTTACAGAAGAAAGAAAATGAGGGGTTTGGTTTTGTCCTGCGTGGAGCCAAAGGTGAGTCATGAAGCTCGCTGACACTGGAACCTTCCCGTCCACAGCGCCTGTGCTTCTCAATGCGTGACATCGATCTGTTCTCATAAGGAGTTAGATGATCTGAGTCATCAAGTTCATTTCAGTCAGTATTGTGACTGTTTTAGTCAACAACACAAGCGGCTTTGGTCAACAATCAGCTTATTTACTCAGATGCACTCAGGCGTCTGTGTGTGTGTGTGTGTGTGTGTGTGCGCGTGGGCGTTTGTGCGCGTGTGTGTTGTGTGTGTAAGACAGAGAGAAAGAGCATGTAGACCTTCTGGTAGCGTCATCCTTGGCCGAGCTGTCTGCTCGCTGTCCCATCTGTTCATCACACATGGCGTTAGGCTTTAGTAGAGAAACATCATCTCTAGTATTCCTTTCATTTTTGCTCTTCCTTTTCTTTTTCTTCCCATGCACCCTTCTTTCATCCTTCCTGTTGATTATCTTTAAATTCTGTCAGCCCTTCCACTTTTCAACCAAGTCCACCTTTTGACTCATGCTCCGTAACCGCAAATTTGCTTTTACGAGCCAGCTCCCCGCCCGTGGTGGTTACCATGGCAGCCTCTCTTCGGCAGCTTGCCGGGAGTCTGAGTAAAATGTGCTTTACTGCTCTGTCACTCTCTACCGTGAATCTTGGCTCGCCCCACTCTCTTTTTTCACTCGTTCTTTTACTCTCCAGCACCCTCAGACACTCACACTGCGGTTCACTTAGTAGTCCTTTGAGAGCTCTCATGTGTCAGTGATTTACTCACACTTGCTTTGAGATTAAACAGAATTTGTTATGCTGCACTCAAAATATTGTTATAGATTGCCTGCATATAGATTGGGGTTTTCAGGCGGAGCTGCATGTTTGTTCAGGGATCGAAGCGAGTATAGGTTGGATTCAGAATGCAAAACAGGCACATTCACTTACAGTACTAATGTTGCAGCCATAATTCTCCGGTGTCCTTATTGAAAATGTAGAATATAAGTAGGTTTGGGTCACGTAAACAAGATGGTGATATCTCAGGAACAGGTTATCCTGATTCAGCAGAACACTGTGGATACTTCACCTGGACTACTCTAATCCAAACGCACTTTTCAGAAAAGTGCTAGGCTACATCAAGTATGACAGACATTTTAAAGACATGAAGGAACTTGATGTTCCACAAAATCTCTTTCATTTTCTTTTCTTCAGAGAAAACATGATATATTAAAACATGACACTTTGTTTTAATATGCCAGCATACAAGGCAGGAAAGAAAGATGTTACACCAGCTGGTAAGGCTCCACAGCAGTAAAATCAGATGAAGCCCTCAATGAAGTATTGTGTAGTTTAGTTAGTAAAAAAATGCCTATCAGTGGAGACTTGTTAACGTTAGGGCTCACAGAGGCTCAGAAATAACAAAGATCTGAGAATACTTGATGCCACGTCTAAAAGAGGCTTGTAACGGACTATATTGATAGTTCAAACAAAAAATATACCTTAATATGCATTACTATGCACAATGGAAACCATCTTTGCACAACCACAGAAGCTAACAGTCTTCCTTATCTCACTCTTAGGGGCTTGGACAATCAGTGCCAAAGACAATGAATGGTGCTTGTCAAGCTCACATTTGTATGACATGGGACATTACAGCTACATTATCATGTTACCTACTGTATAATAAGCTCTAAAAAGGTTTTAATACAGATTACCGTACAGACAAAAGCCACATTTATTATCTCTGGTTGTGACTTTTTTTCTTCAAGCAAAGTTCTGTTAAGTTAATGAACACTTCAAATATCTCTAGAATATTTCCTCTCAGTCTAATCATTTTAATTGTGTCTGATTTTAAACTAGCTTTTTGAAGAATGTAGGGAGTTGCATCAGGTCAGTGACTGGTCATTTAATGTGTCCCAGGACAGAATGAGTGTTAAACTGTTGAAAATAAAAGTGTCTTGCCAAATTTGTCCTCAGGTTTTTCACACCTTTGTCCAGACACAGACTGGTCTGGATGGATGTTACCTTCAATTGAATCATAGAGTAGAGGGAGGGATTTAAGCAATAAATAAACTGTCCACCTCTTAAACAGTTAGCTGTCACTAAGGAGACACATAAAAGACTCATAAAGCACTAATGGCTTCATAAATTGATGTGCTGGATGTGATTCTAAGGTTTTAAGTATTAAAGATGTTAAAGATAATATTTAAACCATAGTGCTATTTTTGGGCTCCTCTGTACATTGTGCAGTTGTATTACTCTCTCAACACAATAACATGTTAACCAGATAATGTAATTAAAACTGTTTGGTTCTTTGTAGAGCAATATTTGGTTTGCCAAAAGAAGAAAACAATGGAACAATTAAAACCCAGCCAGCATTTTCCTAAATGTTGTCTTTGGAAATTACTTAGTGCTTGGAATATCCAGCAGTCTTATTTTACGAATCTCTGAGGCACTGAAGTGTATGGTTTTAACTATCATATTTTCCAGACAGACATTGCAGTTCTGAATGAATGTTTAAATCTATTTTGTTTTTTCTGTAAAGCTGAGACTCCCATTGAAGAGTTCACTCCCACCCCAGCATTCCCTGCCTTGCAGTACCTGGAGTCAGTGGATGTGGAGGGGGTGGCCTGGAGGGCTGGGCTCAGGACGGGGGACTTTCTCATTGAGGTAGTTAAGAAAAAGTGTGTGTGCGTGCATGTGTGTGTGTGTCTTCATTCAAAACATTGAAAATAGAGGTAATTTCTGAAACCCAGGAAACTCAATTTCTGAGCTTTGCTGCATTTAGTTTATATGTATTCTGCAGAGAAGTTTTTTTTTCATTAGTTTAAATGTAACATCGTAATAATCTTTGTGGGATAATTAATTGATATCATGAACAAAATGTGGTTTTATTATTTATTTCATTAATAAACAATATAATAAACTTGCACATTTTTATGTGAGGTGACCAGAATTTGATCAGAATTTTATCAGCATTGACCTAGTTTCTGTCTTCTTACATTTTTTCCAGGTGAACGGGGTGAATGTAGTGAAGGTGGGCCACAAGCAGGTGGTGTCTTTAATCCGGCAAGGAGGGAGCAGACTCCTAATGAAAGTCGTTTCTGTCACTCGCAAGCCAGAATCGGAAGAAATTGTTCGAAAGAAAGGTAAGGCTATTTGGGAATGATGTCATTTAAGGAACAATTACAACTTACCTGTAAAAATAATAATAATAATAATTACTTCATATGTTCACATTGTTTAAGATTCCAAACTAATGGTTACGAGTCAGGTTTGTAATATATATGACGTGATAAGGCACATCATATAAAAGAGTGGATGGTATTAGTTCTTCATAACAAAATGAGATGTGCTAAAGAGATTGGAACTTACTAAAGAACACAGGAACTGACAAAAAGATAGAGAAAAAGTTTTGGACTGGTGGAAACAGGACAGCTCTATTTGTGTCTAAGAGCTGCAAACAGATTGTCAGACAAACCCTCAACACTGTATTCAGGACACAGTGCACTGTGAAGCATTGTGACTTAGGTACTGTGCTGTTCAAGGATTATTCGCATGCTCACGCTGTTTAACACATAGAAATTATATAAAAGTTAAAATACCTAAAATTACTTTGAAGAGGTGAAGTCCAGCATGGTGAAAGGAAATAGCCCCGACCCCAAACACATCAGAAAGTGGTCCGGAGAGTGGCCTTTTGTACATGAGTGCCAAAAACGTGGGGCAGTATGCAACATAGATGGCATGGAGTTTTCTGAAACAGTGGATATAAAGATTAACATAAACTTAAATACTGAAAAACATGTTCATTTTTAGAACAGACTACAACTTAATGTTCAAAATGTCTTGTTTTTTCTGCATTCTGTCGAACAATAATGAATTTAATACATTTTTTTTGTTATGATTTCACATTGAGTGCATTGTGTTCTCAATACATTGTTGTTAATGAAAGTAAAACTATCATAGGGATTCTGTACTTTCCTCACTTTTTTAAACACAACTGAGGCTCACTGTATTACGTGTTGTAATGGAAATGCCTAATTGGCTTTTATACACATATTGGTGTCTCTATGTTGTCAGGAATATTTAAATTTAAGTAGTTTCCATGTCAACCAGAGTTTGCCCTTACTTTGCGCCCACACTATCCTGGCATAGTACCCTCCAAATTTTACAATTATGTACATTGTAATTCATGCTAGACTATTAGTGATTGTTGAAATTTAGAGACAGAAATAAATGGATTCGCTTTAAGATAGGTGAGTGCCCTTTTTGCTAAATTGTATTACTGATTTGTGGTCTCAGTTCAAATCTTTCTTTGTCTTTCTTACACCTAAGCCAGTTGTGAAGGTTCATTAATACCTTTTCTGCTTCATACTTCATAGTTTATAGCATTATCTTACTAGGCAATTACAAATTACCTGTAGGAATGAGCATGGATATCTGTCCTTGTGTTGGGCCTGTTGTATTAAAGGTACAGCAAATTTCTGGTACAGCCTCTCACGTGCAGTGATCCTGAAATGGGATTAGACTAAAGATTTGTTCCCTGCTGTGACTTTTTTGTGTTGACGCAATTACTGACGCAATCTGTTGATACCTGTGAAGATTAATGCACTTAATCTAAATTGAATTGAGCAATTTTGAATGCAGTAGTATCTGTTTTCTGCTGTTTCAGTCACTGTAATTTTCTACATAGTAATTTGAGCCTGATTTGTTTATTCTCTTTCTGTGTGTGTTTGGGATCGTGGTCTGTTGGACCTGAGGTTTGAACTAACTGATGTTGTAGGAGTTGGACTGAGGCTGTAGATCTTGAAGACGCAGTACCAGCTGCAAAGCATGGAGGCGTTTTCATTTTACTGTGGGTGTTTTACTACCACAGGAACGGAGAATTAGCAAAAAGTGGGCGGAATAACGACAAACGACTGTGTCCGAATTCTTCTGTCAAACATTGTTTAGATGGTTACAATGGAGGCACAGTACAGCATAGGAATGGGAAAATTAACAAATAATTTTAATTTTACTGACAACTGACTCCAATGTGGGCCTTTATGTTTGAAGTGCCTTTGATGGGCAAACATATTTTTTCTTTTAAAATGTTTCCTTTAAATTGTGTTTATAGCACTTAAACAGCTGTTCAAAATTTTTTTTTGTCATACATTTTAGATTTTTGGATCAAGAAAACAGCCCATTTCCAAAATACAACAGGGCACACTGCATTCAAATTCTGTTTTTAAGAGAGCTGTGGGTGACAGCATTTTGTTGTTAAAACCTTCTTGCTTTTGAAATTGCTTATTTGAGTTGAAAAACAAAATATAAATCAAGATTTATTTATATTTCACGGTTTTGGCTTCTACGGGCTTCAATAGGTGGCACTAAGATACATTTGACCTTTAGACAAAGAGATTACAAGTGCTGAAAAATATTTCTAATGATCAACCAAATGGATTGTTTCAGATTAGGTAAAAAAACAAAAGTCTTCTTCTTAATTTTACTTCACCTTTCTTTTCTTCTTTTCGGCTCCCTAAGCCTCGCTGAACACCATCTGCGGCCACTCACCGACTCCGTTTGGACAAACTCTCCTTATTGTGCTTCATCCGAGCACAAATACAAATTTCTCTGCACCATGCGTGGCCCCACTACTGCCACCGTTGCTATGGTGACTACAATGCATGTTTGAATTAAGCATTATATTACAGCAACTGCAACACTCTCTCACCATCTGAGCTTCTCTTTTTCCATCCTCCTCTATCTGCTCTGCTCCCTGCTTCTGTAGCAGAGTGTGCAGGCTGCTGAGGAAATGAAGATATTTGGTGTGGACAGTACCCGGGATGGCGTATGTACAGTAGATGTGCAGCTGCGGCATTGGGGCTTGTGTGTGATCTAGGGAGTTATGGCTCTAGAGAGCCGCTTTCAGTGTTAGCTGGCTGGTCTTAGAGTGAGCTGACTGAGTGATTGACAAGAAATTTGGTTTCTTTTAGATGTTATCCTGTAAAGATTGCTGATGGGCTGTGGCTTTCCCGATACTATCTTGCTGCATGATATTTTGCTGTTACTGCTAAATTGCCTGCTCTCTTTCCAGTTTAGTTATGCACAATATTTAATTACATTTATTTTGAAGCCTACAACTTTGCGGTTTGGTTTTTGAATCCATTGTTTGGCAGATATGATTTACTGCCTCGCCTGGGAATTAATAGCCCAGTTGCCTTGTGTGTTTGTGTGTGTAGTGAGCTTGGAAGATTCCCAAGGGCTCTTGTAATGTAAAGGCTGCAGCGTATCATTTTCCTTAGCCATTAAATTTGCTGTCATCTCTTTGTCTGTCGACCCTCGTGTCGTTATGTCTTCCCTCAAGGAGTTTTCTTTGTGCGAGAGCAGGCATGTGAGTGTAAACTGAAATGTTAATGTGTTTCTATCAATTGCACATCTGCTAAATTCAAGGCAGGCAGTATATTAAAGGGAAGATGGATGAGTTGCTCCCTCTCCTTTATGCACACATTGCACTTATGCCTACTATTGTAGCAGACAAATTGTGTTGTTCTGTGTTTAATGGAAGGATTCAAACAGCTCGGGATGCTACAGAGAAGAGTGACTTGTTCATTTACTGCCAATGGGCTCCTCAACAGAGGGACATTCTGGCAGCACAAAAATTACAAACCGGAAAGTTGCGAAGAAAGACACATTAATAAGCCATCAGAGAAAGAGAGAAACATGAAGAAGTTGAGCTTCAGCCGCAGCGTGAACAAGTGCGAGACTTCCAGTTCCCTCGATTACACGCAAATCAAAGCAATGAAAACCAGATGGGCTGGCCGACTGGGGGACGCCAAGAGGGCACTGAGTCGCAAAGCTAAAGGATTTTCATCCACAGCAACATCATCCTCAACTCCATGCCTTGTCTCCACAGCTCCCCCTCCACCCAAGAGAGCTCCCAGCACCACCCTGACGCTGCGCTCCAAGTCCATGACGGCTGAGCTGGAGGAACTGGGTGAGTGCCTAAGAACTGGCAAACAAACTCAACACTCTCTTCCTCCTTTTCTTTCGTGTTTTCTACTTGACTCTGTCATTAAAATGTGGCGTGTCTCCTAACTTTTAGAATAGTCACTTGTGTCGCCTTGTTCTTGTCATTTTCCCTCCTCTGCTGACGCTATCTTTTTCCCACCAAGCTTCTGCTCGGAGAAGACGAGGAGGTGAGTCTGAGGCAAGAATTTGACACTTCTCTGAGCGTCATAATTATGACTTATCACTGCTGTGTCATTAGAGCAGTGCGGATTTGGACCAGAGGCAGTTTTTGATCTGAGCCATTTGAGCAGTTGCCCAGGGCAGCATTAGAAAAGGGTGCACCAGACAGTAAAATATAAACCAGTTGTGCCCTGAAGTTTTTTATTGCTGTTGTGCATGTGCATTGAGGTAGGCTTCCCGTGCTTGCTGCTGTTATTTTCAGCTGTAAGGAGCGATAGAAGAGGGGAATCATTTATGCAAGAATTTCACTGATTTGGACAACAGAACACCTAAACTGCGCTGCCTTTCTTTGTTCTCCTCTGTGTTTTTTCACCTCTTGGTTCCAGAGAAGAGAACTAGCAAACATTTACAAGTCATTTTCACTCAAAACACAAATCAAGATTTCACACTGTAGCATGGAGCTATGTTATGGATATTGTCTTTTCATTCTCTTCCATTGACATCTATGTCGGAGACTATGATAAAACATTTCCGTGGTCTTATATCTTAGCATTTAGTTCTGGCTCATTTCCTTTTCAACAGAAAGACTAGATGAGATGTTGGCATCGCAGGAATCTATGTTGCATTCTCAGCCCCCGGAGGCAGATTACAGAGCAGCCACTGTCAAACAACGGCCTACCAGCAGGAGAATAACACCAGCAGAGATCAGTGTGAGTGAACCTACACACAGCACACCTCCAGACAGCTCTATGTGCCATGCTGCTCTACATACCAATTCTATCTGAAATACACTGTTTTTGGTGTTTGGACCCCTACAAAGTTCTTCTGGTTTTTTTTTTTTTTCTTTTTGTCACGCTTTAATGATTCAAATTAGAAAATACATTTTAAAATTGGATAAAAATTAAACAAGTACATACAAAAATCAGTTTTCCAAAGGATTTTATTTATTAAGGACAAAATCTTACCAATGCAATCTGCTGCTGTGGGGAAAACTAGTTGCCCCCTAAACACTATAACTAGATTTTGTCTTGGCACAATATAAATGACTGACAGCAGGAGTTTGTGATAATTGATAATGACTTTTTAGCATCATAACTGAAGAATTTTCCTCCACAGTTACAGGCTATTTCTGCGATAACTCATAGAGATCTTACTGAAGTTTCTTTAAAGTGGCTTTGATTACACTGTCAGTTCTGAATTTTGTGGTGCAGTCACTGTTTGAGAGACAAGGGATGACGCTACATGGAGGTCTGCACCCGGGTATCGAGAGGGGTGACATACCAGTCCCTAAAGGCATGTCCAGGACCAAGTCTTTTGGTAAAACATTCATTCATGGTTTTCTTAATTAAATTACAAAGACACTTTATTTTGTTCATACAAAATTTATGGAAAATAATCATTTCAAACAAAGTAACATCAAACACATTAAATCTTCTGGTTTTGATAAGAAATTAAGAATATGGTAATACCATGAATAATTTAAGCTCATTTTGATTTCAAAACAGTATTGAGTCCAGAAGGGGCTGCAAGATGTCCAAGCAAGTGCAGTAAAAAGTGTGAAAATTTGAAAGCATGCTTTTACTCGATAATGAAAATTGTAATAAAATTTCCAGCACAAAGACAAGTAAATATTAATAAATGTGAAACTGTATAAATGTTGCCCTTTCAAAAGGAGGTGTGAGCAAATTCATATAAAACAGGGCTTAGTGCAAAAACCCTCAAAATATCTAGTTTCGCTCACAATTTTTGGTGGCTCTCATACAGCTGTCTACATGTTATATCAAAGAGTGTAAACAAACATCTGTAAAATAAATAAAAACACTTTTAATAAACATAGTTGTAATCTATATTTACCGTCCAAGTAGTAGGTGCCTATAAAGCAGTTTTATCACAGTGTTCTGTAGAAAATGAACAGAAACCCTAGAAAATGTAAGGTTTAGTATGTGCAAATGTTTTGCTTTTGTGATAAATACAGATGGATTTGTTGACTCTCAAAACAACTTTAACAGTATTTAATATTTTGTAAAAAATGTGTCATAAGATGTTTTGTTAAGGAATCATAAATCATAAATCGAGCTGGTTTCCAGTTGAAAGCCATTTGTTGTACGTACCTAACTGTGAACTTGGTAATTTAAAATAAATTTTTCTTTGATCGTAACCTGTGCCACATAATTGAATAACCTGTCCCTTTCCCTCCGTCAACAGGTGCCACAGAAGAGGATAGACTGTCTGCACTTGCAGGCGAGCACAGATTTCCACGTAGTTCCTCTATGACAGACAGCCTCCGAGACCACTCACAACCCCATCCTATCCCTCCACCTCCTCAGATGGCACCTCCTCCTCCTCCTTACTACTTTGACACGGGTCCCCCTCCAGCTTTTTGCCCTCCTCCTCCCCCATCTCGGACCCAAAGTCAAGGCCATGAGCCTGGAAGCCGTTCCAGCTTCAAGCCATCCTCTTTGGACCTGCCTTACGAAGGCGCTCAGCGGCAAGCTACACACATCGAGAGACAGAAGAAAGCTCGCTCAATGATCATCCTACAGGACTCCTCCCATCTACCTGTAGAACCTACAGAAATTCCCCGTCCTGCTGCTACTCCACCAGAGCGAATCAAAAGAAAGGGAAGGGTAATTGACAACCCTTACGCAAATGTGGGTCAGTTCAGCATTGGACTATTCACACCCACAAAGCCCCAAAGAAAGAAAAGTCCTTTGGTGAAACAGCTACAGGTAGGTTGTATCTTAATAATGATTTCATTTTTATTCTTAAAACATGCCAAAGGATTTCTGAGATTAAATCTTCCTTTGCATTTCTCCAATGGTAGGTAGAAGATGCACAAGAAAAGGCTAGCCTAGCCTTAGCTGCTGCCCACTCGCGAGAGAGCTCACCCTCAGGACGACACCCACATGGGCACACGCACACCAGCCGTGTCGACTACTACCAGCAGCAGCTCATGGCTGAACGAGAGCGATTGCGAGCCCAAGGAGAGATGATGTTTCAGGGTAAAGGCCCATTTGCTGCTGCTATTGCTGGAGCAGTAAAAGATCGTGAACGTCGCCTTGAAGAGCGGAGAAAATCCACTGTCTTCCTTTCTGTTGGGACCATGGAAGGGTCACCTACAACAAGCCCTGACTCCCCCTCTTTGACTCAGTCTCATTCCATCGATGAACGGCTGTTAACTCGAGAGCTTGGACAGCTTCCCCCCCCTGCCTTGGCTCTGAGCCCCTTAGCTAGCGGGACCACCTTTATCCATCCACTCACAGGAAAGCCTCTGGACCCAAATTCACCACTAGCTCTTGCGCTGGCCGCAAGGGAGAGAGCACTGACCTCTCAGAGTCAGTCCCCAACTGGCAGCCCAGAGCCTCGGACTAAACAAGAGCGAGTAGGCCAGGTTGTAATGTTCTCTGACACTCAGACCAAAGAGTCTCCACATGGGGATGGAGTAACTGCATCTCCCCCTTTTTCACCTAAAAGCGCCAAGGCAGCGGGGTATGGCACATCATCCTCCCCAGCTAATATTTTGGCTCCTCAAGCCATCAAACCACAGTGGACGACATCATCATCATCTATATCATTCCGTCAAGAGATGGAAGCTAGAATTGAGGAGAGAAAGGAGGAAAAGAGACTAGAGGATAAAAAAAGCATGTTGATCAGCATTATGGATACATCACAGCAGAAGACAGCTGGGCTGATCATGGTTCATGCAACCAGCAATGGTCAGGCTGTTGGGATGGGGTCAGGGATTGAACAGAAACCTGTGCCTACAACCATAGAGCCCAGTAAATCACAGAGTCCACGGGCTAAATCCCCCATTCCCACAGCTCCCCAGCCCCAAACTCAACTCCAGGTTCAGCCTCAAACTCAGCGTCCTGCCAGTCCTGCCCAAGAGAAGACCCTGGCTCAGGGAAGCTCAGAAGAGGATGTGGATGCCTACACAGTCACTTTACCACCGGCTATGTTATCTTCCAGCGATGAGGAAACAAGAGAGGAGCTACGTAAGATTGGGGTGGTTCCTCCACCAGATGAGTTTGCAAATGGGTTGCTGGCCCAGGCACAGGGGATACCAGTATCATCTGCTAAAGCTGCTCTGTCTCCTGCTACACCAGCCACACCGACACCCCAAACTCCCTTAACCCCAACAACCCCAACTGTGACAACCACCCAGCCTCAGCCAGCACCTCCACCCAGTGCAGCAGCTGTCTCAGGGAAAACTTCTGACCCTCTGGAGCCCCCACCAGTGGGCGAGGCTGGTTCTGCAGCTGACTCAGGTGTGGAGGAGGCTGACACGCGCAGCTCCAGTGACAGAGAGAGAGACCACCATCTTGAGACCACCAGCACCGTCTCTACAGTTTCCAGCATGTCTACATTGTCCTCAGAAAGTGGCGAGCCTGCTGACACGCACACCACGCACACCTCCTATGCTGACGGGCAGACTTTTGTTCTTGACAAGCCGCCAGTGCCTCCGAAGCCTCGACTCAAATCCCAGATAGGAGGCAGTAAAGGCCCCGTCACCTTCAGGGACCCTTTGCTGAAGCAGAGCTCTGATAGTGAGCTGCTGTCCCAGCAACAGGCTGCTGCACTGGCTGCTGCAGCAGCTGGTGGAGCTGGGCTTCCTGCAGGTGGTTCCGCCTCAGTTACTGGTCTAGCTCCAACTAAGCCACGCTATCTCTTCCAACGGAGGTCCAAGTTGTGGGGGGATCTGGTAGAACCTCGAGGAACAGGGGTAGGGCTAGGGATTGGGAGTTTGGGCAATCTTGGTGGGCTAGGACTTGGGCTAGGTGCAGATGAGAGCGCAAAACCATCAGTTATGGGAGAGCTTAGTTCACGTCTACAGCAGTTAAGTAAAGACACTAGGTCACTGGGTGAGGAGCCACTGGGAGCCTCTCTTGACCCTGGGAGAAAGTCACCTGTGGCAGGTGCAAGGTAAGCGAATATCAAGAATGTCTTTAGCCCTGAGTGACTCAAGACATTAGAGAATTGCAGCAAAATGAGTTTATTTATGCTGTACTTATCAGTGCAAAGTGCCTAGTTATAGCAGGACAGAATGCATATCAAAGGAGACTGATAGCACTTAGCCACCATTATATTAGTGCTTACTAATTTGTCAGCACTTTTGTTACTCCTTGAATACATGACTTTCTAGTGTCAATTCCTGCTGTATGTTTAGACTTGCTGCACTCACCTAATGTAAATTAATTAGCAGTCTATTGTTGATGGTTTCAAAGATTAGATGTCTCATGCATTGTTGTGAAAATTAGTGGTATGTAGAGATCGCCCGTTCTAAATTTAGTGAAGAACTTACAACCTCCAGTTTTGTGAAGCTTTGACCTGATGATACAGTTTTTAGTAGATTTTTATTTCTCTATAAGAACTGAACTTAGAGGATAAAATAACCACATTTTCCTAGCCTTTTTTGTGTAAGCAGCCAATGGTTTTTTATACTGGGAGCAGACACAAATTTATTAATAAGGATGAGAGAGCAATCATTGTGGAATTGTTTATTTTACAACAACAAAAAAAGATTGGACCTGTTTCTATAGCACCTCATTTGAATAATTATCATGGTTAGCATCCAAGCTACTGCTACTGAGCATTACATCACCAAGTGCAATTAGAAAGCATTGGATCAGGACTCAATGTGTCAAGTGCAAAGTTTGGTGCTGAGGAAAATATGGTGTGGGACTATTTTAGAGGTTAATCTCTACCATTAACAATTAAGCATATCAAAGCATTGTGTGACAGTTTCATGCTCCTAAGGCTATGGGAACATTTTCAAGATGGTCCCTTCCTATTCCAACATCACTGTGCGCTAGTATTCAAAGCACGGTTCATGTAGTGGCTGACAAATTGGGATGAAATATTTCACTGGCTATGCAGTCTTTACTTCTATCCCATAGAAAACCTTTGGGATGAACTAGAAGTGACACTACATCTTGGCCAACGTCAGTGTCTGACCTCACAAGTCAGACACTGACTTGTGAGGTAGAATTGTAGAATTGTCAAAAATTCTCTTAAACACAACTTAACCTTGTAAAAAGCTTTTCTACAAAATTATGAATGACAGTTCACTCATGAACTTGAGTTTTTGCAGGCAGATGACTGAATACTTTCAGCCATATAGTCTAAGGCCTTAGTGTATATCTCACTGATACCAAAACACACTCAGTAATTGTGTCTGAGTGTGGAACACAGTAGTTCTCTTTGTGGCTCTTTCACTAATAAAAACTAGATTTGATTTTAGATTTTGTTTGATCCTGTTATTGCTCTAAGCCAATCAAGCTGAAAACCGTATAACTCTGATCATCAACAGATTCCTTTGTGCATTTATAGATTAGAAGTCTCAAACAAATTCCTACCTTATGCCATTTAGTTCATTTAAACTTCATACAGTGGCACAGAACAAATGGTTCACAAAGCTGCTAGAAGGTTATCTGTGACATCTGAGACACAGTGATGGTTTAGTCTGTTTTCTGTGGGTGTTTTTTCTACTACATACCTAAAAGTGCAATGTAAATCCTTTATATTTCTGCAGATGTGGGGACACCGAAGAAACTAGACCTTAAAGTTATAGACTCTAGGGTAAACCAAATATTTTTTTAATATGCCTTACACAATTACCCTATAAACTAAGCACAATAACATCTAGAAACCTTTAGCAACTTTCTTTATATTTTTCCCTTAAAACATTGTTACCTTGTTTGCATAAAGTTTTACTACATAGGTGTTATGATTGTTATGATTTTTTTGTTTTAGAAATAAGTAGTTTCAAAGGCAGTAGTTTGTCAAGTGCTGTAGTTGTCAGTCACAATCTTTGACCTTTTTATAAAATTTTGTAGTAGTCAATAAACTAGTGTTGTAAAATGTTTCTGTGGGTATAGATTACTCACATACAAATATGTATGCAAAGTAAGATAACTACTAGTGCAAACAATGTAACATGATTCAAGGCATGTACTTACTTACACACTGCTGTGTTTTATTTCTAATCTATGACCCGCTAGTATCTACCCTTCCTAAGTCTTTCCTAAGTCTTTGTTCAAATGTTACACAACACATCCCTCTATCCACTACCCTTTGCAGACATCACAATACAAACTTGTTAAAAACTGAAAATACAGTTTTTCCCCTTATCATTACCACCTTCATGGTATGTAAAGTGATGACTTCAAAGATTTGGGGATGCATTTTTAAGAAGAATTTGAACAGGACTTAAATATAATGGTGTGTTAGTTAAACTTGCTCTTTTCTTATCTATGGAGTTTTACCTTCCCCTGTTACTCACCCAAGCAAAAGGCAAAATCCTAACATTGTCAAAGGTCATTTTTCATAACTGTCAAATAAATGGTGGGATAACTACTTTTCCTTAATGAGAGGTTTGCTTTTGCTGGAAAAAGAATTGCATTATGTGGATTTTTTTTTTTCCTCATCTTGTCAAAAACTCAGATTGTTTCAAGGAACAATTTAAAAATGTCACAAAAAATTTTAGTGTTCACAATAGTAGTGAATACAAACTGAGTTCATAATCAAGAATACCTTTCAGTTTGGGGTTCTATCATTTTTTTTATTTATATAGATAATACTGTACAATTAATGTGGCTCTTTCACACTAATTACAGATTAGTGTTGATGTTATACTTGCATTTCTATGTAATGTTGTGCATATGGAAATATATATTTTTAGCTTGTTTCTTAGAGTTTTAGTTAGGTGTCCACAGAAATGGTTTGGTTTCAGCGTTACCCCACCTCTTGCCCAACGACCACTGCAGATAGACAATCATCCACATGCCTGCACGGATAAGCGAGTAGGATGGATGGATTATTCATCCTTACTGTACACTGATTAATCATAACATAAAAATCCACTGCTTCATAATGTGTAACTCCGCTGTGCTATCAAAGTACATTTTCATTTCAATGAAGTAGAGTGTCATAAAAAAGTTAATTTCAGTAATTCAATTTAAAAAGTGAAAGTCATATATTAACCATTATGTTGTATACTTATTCAATTTATTTTTGATAACTTTAAGTTACACCAAGTGAAACATTCTTTTTTTTTTTACATCTACCTACTTTTATTTTATCCAGCAAAATTCTTGGCAGGTCTGACCATTGTTCAATTGTCATTGATATTCTCCACAAAGAATGTGGGCCATACATGGATTAGTATTCAAGACCTTAACTCTCAAGCCTAATGATGTAAAGTTACGTGGAAGGAATACATGTTTTAGAAAATGTGCAATAACAATAGGGATAGTTTCAGCCTTGAGAAGACTGTAAAGCAAACCCATTAAAAAATTGGCATGGATTTGAATGCCACCACATAAACAAGTCCTCAAGAGATGGGCTGCAGATGTGATACGTGCAGAAGTGTCTTTAAGATGAAACAGAACTTGACTGTTGCTAGTCTGTCATCCAAGGTCTTCTTTTCTAATTAAGGCAAAGTTCACATTTTATTTGTAAATCCAGGTCCTAAAATTTGAAGGCAAAGAAGAATGGAGAAATGCATCATCACCTTAAGATCCTTGAGGTCTTATATGAATGGTCTGCAGTCTGTTTAGCTATGTCATCTATTGGTGTTGACCTATTGTGATTTACCAAATGCTTTACTAATAATATTAGATTATTTTCTAACAAGTTTTATAGAGATGATGGGGGCAATTGGCTAATACTTTCTTCAGTGACAATGGCATCACTGTGCTTGATTAACCAGCATACTTGCCTGACCTAAACCACATGGTGAATCTATCAAGGATTGTGGAGAGAAATATGAGAGACTCTAGACACAACAATGTTCAACACAACACACAACTTGGGATTTCCTAACGCCTCAGCAGTACCACAAGTTATTTGCCTCCGTGGTACATTGCATTGATGCAGTCTTCAGGTCCGGCCAAGCACTAAATGCATACACTGTAGAGTACACAGAAATACACCTCAGTACGCCAACATTTCTGTACTAAAATCCTTATTATTGGTTTAATGTGATATTCACATTAAAGTTCAGTTTTCTGAGGAACTAAACTTCAGTTCATTAGCTGTAAGCTATTGCCATCAAAATGAAAAGACATAATTGAAATATATCGCTGTGTGTAGTAAAGCAATATAACGCATGCGTTTCACTTTTCAATGTGGATTACTGAACAGAATTAACTTTTTGATGATATTCTAACTAATTGAGAGACACCTGTAGCTGTTATTGGACGGGATATTAATACCTGTGGGTATGGTAAGGTCAGCCATTGTACTGGTATCACAGCACTGTTTTGTTTTGTTTTGTTGCGTCCTTTGGGCTTTGAGACGGGGGTCCTTAGGATTGGGTTCATTTTGTCAGTCTACTTAGATACTCTGAATGTTATGTTTTGTTTTTTGTGGGGTCCGAATTTCATTACTGTTGTTAACCAAGGTTCCTAAGGAGCAGATTTTATTGACGGTCAAAGTGACTTGAAAATAGTTAAATAGTTCTGGTTAGTACAAATATTGAGTAGGGAATAGTTTAAAAGTATAAAAATTAGTTCTTGAATTTTGTAGATTGTGAAAAAGGCCACGACTTCAAACACAGCACGTCATGCAACATCTAGTTCAGATTCCTCTCACCCTCCCACCATTTCCATTCTGACAGTTAATTGCCTTTGGCTGTGATAAAAATGATCATACACACCATTATCCCTCTTTCTCTATCACTCTGCATTTACATTTAATCCCTTTCCCCTGCTGGAGGACTTCTCATATATCATTGGTCTCCCAGCACTTCTAATTGTAATGCTACTCCATCTCACACCCTCCACACACCACAATGCTCCATTCTGTCTTTACTGTTTCCCAAACCCTGTATATGATATAACTTTGTTCTAATTTTGTTTCATTTGTGGTGTTTGGTTTTCTTTTTTGAGTTGTTTGTGTACACTACATAGTTTGGTTTGTTTTTCAGTGTTTGTGTTGAGAATGGCCATGGTCCCTGACTGTCTCACTGGTTCACCTTGTATGTTCTTCAAATCATGTTTAAGCTGAAAAGAATTTTATTTGTTCAACATAACATAATAATGAGCACACATCTACAGAGAGCACCATATGCAAATGTTGAGTTTTAGTTTCCATTTTATTTGTAAATAGTCACAAAAGTCCAGAGACATGTGCCTTCAGTTTATTTATTCATTTGGGCTTTTTTGTTTGTTTGTTTGTTTAGTTTTTTGTACAGTGTTTTACATGTGAACAGTGTGCTCATTTCTCTCTCATAAGGTCCACTGATCAGACTTTGTTGTGCTGAGACTTACTCTGCTGCTGTAATTAAGCACACTCACATTTGCAAATCCATCTAAATCCAGAATCAGAACATACCCACACACATACAGAACCTTGAAGGCAGCAGAGTTGGCTAAAGCATATATTGGGTCTGGTTAGCAGGCTGCGTCTCATGGAGTGATGCTAACATTCTCTCCCATTGCTCTCTCTCTGCTCACCTTGCATGCCCCGCCCTGCTGCTCTGATCTGATTGGTCTAGAACTGACTGTGCGCCCAGGAGGGCAGGACAACTGTGTAAGTGTGCATGAAGCTCATCCCGGCCCGTTGGCTCCCTGTAATCTGATCATTTTTTTCCAGCCTGAGCATCCTTTGCTCCATTACATTTTTGTCGTTCGAAAGTCACTCAGAATAAAGCTCCAAACAAATAGAATAGAGGGTTAAAGCCCAGATAAAATGCATGAATGATATTTAGATATATCCTTCTTGCTTCTGCCTGCTTCCACCAGGACAATCTTTCTTAGTTTTAGCTTTGCACTCTCTTCCATCCCTCTTTCTAATCATCTTTCCCTTCATTAGACTAGTCGTAGATAAATCTCAGTCTTTGGTTTTATTGTTCTTTAAAAAGTGTTGAGGTATCTTTATTGAGTACTTCTTGTTGGGCTCCAGATACTGTGTCTGCTGAAGAAGCATAAGATGTTTCTTAAACTCCTTCTAAAGGCTTCACATGGTGAGACTGGGTTGGATGGTCATCTTATCAGGTCTTATCAGGCATAAATAAGCCTTATCCTTTTATAAAATGTGAAGACAGTTTTGTGCATTTTAAATACATCAATGTATTTAAAATGCATTATAATTTGTTGTTTAACGACAATGTTTGCATTGCATTGTTTTCTCCTTTGTGTTTATAAAGGAGAAAACATAAAGTTCAAATTAAACTACTGCCTTCTGTCTCTGAACATGATAGTATGTGGTTTATTTAATGATACAATTGATACAATACAGTGATGCTTGCACTTTCAGGTTAGTGCTTTTCAGATTTTTCTTGTATACCTGCCTGCATTTGTTTGATATTATACCGCTGAGTCGGCATTCACAGAACAGCTTTGTTTATGCTAAAATGAATAACCCATAGTCAAACTTTGCTAATTAGGCAACTTCTGAGAGCATTGGTTACACCACAGTTTTGTAGGGGTACGAGATTAAAGAGGACCCAATAAAGATGCATACCAGACTTCACATTTTTATTTGCTAAAAAAATAAAATAAAATTGCATTTTCTTTTTCCTTATACTTCTTACATATGTGTAAGACCTGCACAATATTACAAAAAAATATATATATATGACATGTGAATAATGGTGAATGTTTTGAATGAATGAAATGGCTAGCAAAAAAGAAAATTAAATAAAAAGTGTTAATGTCTTTGTGCTTTGGGTTCATAGGAAATCTGGACCCCAGAGTGCCTGAATGCATCATCAATTTAAGTTCCTTGAGGTCTTGTCTAAAGACCTCAAGGACCTTATTGTGGTCCAGGCAGTCTCAGAATTATACGCAAACTGTGTACAGTGATATTTCAATAAAAATACATTTGTCACATATATGCGGCACAACTCTGTGACATAAAATCCCAATTAAATACGCTGAACTTTGTGATTATTAATGTGATAAATATGGAAAAGTGATGACGGGGAATGAATACTTTTGACATCAAAACTTGGTCTCTTTCTTCAAAGTTATCTGTAATTGTTTGTTATTGACAATTTTAAAACTCTGTGTCTCCACCAGACTTTTTAGCAGCCTAGGCGAGCTCCACACCCTTTCCCAGAGAAGCTATGGAACCACATACACCATCCGCCCCGGCAGCCGTTACCCCGTCACCAGACGGGCACCCAGCCCAGGCTCAGGCTCACCTGATCGGGGCGACCTCTTTGGACGATTCTCAGGCTTCGGCCTGCCAACCTCACCAACTACACCGCCACAAACCATTCTCAAGTCCTCTAGTCTCAGCTTACCCCAGGAGCCTAAAGAGGTGCGCTTTGTGATGAGGAGCTCCAGCGCACATTCTCGCTCTCGCTCTCCATCACCTTCCCATTCCCCTGGATTAGGTTCCCCACTTTTAGCCCTCCGACCCTTTCACCAAAAACCCCTCCACCTGTGGAACAAGTACGATGTTGGAGACTGGCTTGAGAGCATCAACTTGGGAGAGCACAGAGCGGGGTTTCAGGAACATGAGATCGAAGGCTCTCACCTCCCGGCTCTAACCAAGGATGACTTTGCAGAGCTGGGAGTGACACGGGTCGGACACCGTATGAACATTGAGCGAGCGCTGAAACTGCTGCTGGAGAGCTGACCCTTACCCTGAAAAAGAGCAAGAGGAAAGAAAGACACAAGTCTGAATTAGATGAAAATAAGGGATCCACTGAACACACTCCTCTGTTACTCCAGCTGCTTTTATATTCAGTATTAAAATGTTCATCTGTGGTTCCTAGTGACACTTTCTGTTCTGCATTAATACCCCGCACCTGGCAATGCACTAAAGAGGCAGAGGCAATACCCATACAATGTACATTCATCCCTTTTTTTTCTTACCCCCTACTCACTTTATGGCTCCAGCTTCTTGCCTGGAGCAAATCAGACTCGACATCCCAAAAGAGATAGCTGAGAGCTCCAATTAGATCATTTGGTTTCTGAAAAGTTACGTTCTTTCCTTAATGACACCCACACTTTCTCACTGCACCCTCTCTACCTCTCTCCCCTCTCGTATTAGGCCTCTGAAAGCCTTCGGCAGTTTGAGTAAGAGAGGAGGAGGAAGGATTCTCGTTCCAAACAGAAAACTCAGTTGCCTTTCAAAAATATTTCTACTGAAATCAACTCTGATGAACACAGTGCTATGGAAATAGCAGCTCTGAAAAGGTGTGTCTTCTGAATACCTGCTATCGTTTTTAAACTGAAGACTTTTAAGCCCAGAGGTGGAGCTCCGCAGGAGGAAAAACCCCCTCTGCCTTGGTACCAAGACTGTGCAATCTATAATATTTGGAGAATGTTTAACCAACACTCGTGGCTTTTTTCATAATTAATTTTTTGATTTTCCAAAGGGAATATTATATATATTACTATTATATGGCATAATATAATATATATGTATCTACGTATAGCTTTCAGATGAAAAGACATTATTGCAAAGAAAAGATGTATCAAATGAATTTGCAGCTGTTTTTGGTTTTAGTATAGAAAACAGAAAGAGGTCTTTAAATCTAATCCACCAATAGTTTACTCATTTCTACCATACATATATATACATATAAATATATATATATATTTGAAAGAAAACAAGATATAAATACAGAAAAATTAATTTTTTTATCATACCTACAGAAATTTCCGTGTGATCACCTTTCTTGAGGCATAGCATAACGAGTTGCTTTATGTTGTCGTACGTTTTTATTTTGTTTATGGTCTTCCGTCACTCTAAAGGGCATCCCGTAATGTGAGGCTAAGACCCCAGCTGAAACCCATCCCTACTGCTTCAGTCTCAAATTTTCGTCAGAGGGGACTAAAGAGCCAAATAATTAATTAAAATTAGTTTTAAGTTGTTGTTTTTTTTTTTTTTGTTTTTTTTTTCCTTTTAAGGTTTGACATAATTGATTTACAAAGCAAAACACACAATATTCAACAAAGGCATGGGCCAGAATGAAATTCTGTTGGTGAGATAACCATACAAAAAATGATTCAGTTTGACTCTCAGAAGTTGAAATCTCCAAGTTTTGACTTTGAAAAGTTAACGGAAAAGTCAGTTTTTTCAATCCTCAGAAGCCAACACAGATGCCACAGTTCTTTTAAAATTATGAAGGTTTATATCCAATGAAATATTTTCACACACACACAACCTCCTGACAACATAAATCTTTATCAAGCAGGTGTATAGTTTCTTCAGCAGTGGGGTTGGGAAAGACAGTAAAAGGTCTTAAAGAAAATTCAGCATTTTACAACCTGAATGTGCAGCTGCTTTCTTTTTAGTGAGTGAAATATTACCATCCAGAACTATTAAAAATAAACCAGGTTGTAAAACAGAGGGGGAAAAAAAGCTGAATTTTCTTTTAACAATACAAAATCTGCAATTGTACTCATGAGCAGCTTCAGCTGGCAGTGAGAACCAGTGAGTTTTATTCATGCTACAAAGGGAAAATGAAAATAAAGCATTTTGGCATTCTAGCTGTCTTCTTTTCTGACAGAATGCCAGGAAATGTCTGATACCACTAAAAACCTCTGCTCATCAGAAGCATTCAGCCAAGGCACTTTCACTTGGCAAAAACTTGTGTGCATCTTTCTTCCCTTGTCCTTTCTGAAAAGCAGGCAGTGAACAAAATCATTATATAGGAGCTGTAGGAATAGCACTCACTGCCTCACTGTGACCTCACTTTCCTTTTACCTGCAGTGTTAAGTTCTCCTTTCTTTCTTTTATCCTTTCTTTCTTCTGTTGCTGATTTGTTACCTTCGGCCACTGTGGGTAGATTTTGTAGCGTGTGGAACATCATAATTTACTCATTTGAATTTTAGAGTGGTGGGGAAGAAAAAATACATCTCCTGCCCGTTCTGAACATACTTACACTTGTAAAAAAAAAAAAAAAAGAACAAACTACAAATATTTGCTTTTTTAAATCACAAGCAATGTATATATAATAGATTTCCTATAAATTTTTGAAAAGTATATAGATCTATATATGAATGTTTGGCATATATGCATAGTTAACCACCTGTGGAAAAGGTGAGCAGATTTTATTCTTTCTATGAACTCTTGAACTTTTGAACTCTGAACTATGAACTAGGGGATGATTTGCACAAAACAAGGTGACAAGGTGCTAACATAAAAGCCACCCATCGTCCAAGCGCATGAGTGCATCTGGATTCCCTGAATCTCTCTGTGTGCTTGTTCCTCTTCACCGTGCGCGTGTGAATGAGTGCGCATGTGTGCAAATGCTTGTTTTTGTTTTGTTGTTTTTTTTTTCACGTCTGTGTAATTTGTTTGGGAGTGAGATGCAGAGAATGCATGCGACCGTGAGAGTGCGGTTAATTGTTGGGGTTTACATCTTTGGCGTTAGTCCACTATAGCCTTACTGTACCATCAGAGATTGCCGGCTGTGGCTGTGTCACATAACAACACAGACACAAACACGCATACACACACACACACACACACACACAGAAAAATGCACACGCATTCACACTGAAGCTCATCGTTGTGTATTGTGTTTTTGTCCAGAGTTATATCTTCAAAAAGTGGACTGTTCTGCCCAAGAGGGAGAGACAGACAGACAGAGAGAGATAAGCAAAACACTGTCAAATTTTCTACTCCTGAGTCAAGACTAGAAGATCTCACCTTGGAACTGCATAGGTGCTTCTTATGCAGTGTCACTAATTCTGTACAGACTTTCCAAAATGGCATTTCCACTCCGCTGCACTCTGTCTGGCAGCTCTCCTTTTTCCTTTTTCAGACTTTCAGATTCTGAGTTTTGAATATGTTATATGCGATGATCCAGTAAGGAACAAACAACACAAAAAAATTGTGCCAAAAAGTAACTTAACTGTGTATTTGTCTTTTGCTTTAGGACTATCTTAGTTGCAGCACTCTTAAGCTGTTATGTATTACGACAATATGGTGCCATCTCCTGGTAATCTTGAGAACTGATATTTTTTGGATCCTTTGGTATTTTTCTGCAGGTGGAAGTACATGTGCATCTCAAATAAGATCATTGAAAGGTTTAGTCATTTCTGTTATTCCTTTGAAAAAGTGAAACTCATGTTCTATCTAGCCTTATTACACACAGGTTGACATAGTTCAAATGTTTAGTTCGGTTACATTTTATGATTGTGGCTCATAGATTAAAGAAAATTCCCAATTTTTTTTTTCTTTTTTTAAAGTGAAAAAGTTATATAAAATCAAAACAATGAAAGTAATTTTAGGCAGAAATGTCAGGTTGGTGTACAACATATGCATTCAATATCTGGTTGGGGCTTACTTTGGATTTCTTATGAGCCACTGCATCAGTGCTGTGTGACTTGGAGGTGATCTGCCTGTATGTGTTAATAGAGGGTTTCAGTCTGTTGTTGGGTCTGATCTTCCTCATGATGAAACCTCATAGATAATGTTACTTAGGTCCAGTACAGTGATATCATGCTCATTAAACCAAGTGCTGGTACTTTTATGGTTTAGGATTTGGATAGAAGCCATGTTCTGTTGGAGAATGAAATCAACAGAGAGAAGCATGTAATGTAACAAATATCATGGTAGAAGGATGCTCTCGCGTTGGACTTGATAAAACCTTAACAATCAGCATCTATAGACGACATGTGTCTCTAAGTCAGCTTCACCTCAAGCTGTTGAATCTAGTTTAATAGCTCTCAAGCGACATTTTGTTCATTAGGTGCAAGGTATAATCAACAAAATTGCAAGAGGCAAACTTGAATTATGTCCCGCTGTGTGTAATGAATCAACATAATAAATGGGTTTTAGTTCTTCATCTAACTTTTTAAAACAAACTTTTCAATAAAATAATTTACTGAGATGCACTTTTATTTCATACTTCATAGTCACAGGCTATATAGATGTCTCCATATAGATTTACATATATACAGCCTGTGTATTTCTACTTGCTTAGACATCTGTCCTTAAATTATGTGACGTAGCAACACAGTTACATAATTTGAATGATAACAGTTATTGTTCCCAGAAAATAGTCTGATCTCAGACACAGGCTGGCCTGATTAGAGCATCGGTTGAGTTGGGTTGTAGTGGAAGTTGTAGTGGAAGTTTTGTAGTGGAAGTTTACTTTGCTGCTCATCTAAAGACATTTAGATGAGCAGCAAAACAGACTGACACATCAATAGGTCAAATAAGAGGTAGGCTCTATTCTATATTTCTTAACAAAGCACAATCTACACAGTTGAAGAGAAGCATTGTGACTTTTCTTTAAAAAATTAAAAAAAAATCTCCCTGGTACCTGTCGACACACTGGAACCAGTGATCTTATCATCAGAGGGTTTGTTTCTTTCATTGTTGGTTTTCTCCTTGTTTGCACTGTGAAGTTTAGAACGGTGGATATGTCACTGCAACGCCTCAGCCTTGACTCACTTGGGAACATCCCCTTCTCGGCTTCTAATCACCAGGCAAGTCATCTCCAACTTCTCTTCCTCTGGACGTGAATATCTGATACATAAGAGCCTATGCTAACAGCCCAAGCTAACCAGAGGCTACTAAGTCTTCTCCATGTAAAAAAAAAAAAATCAAGGGCGATGGTAAAGACTGAGGCAAGATGTGAGACGTTGCCCTGGATATCTCCACCACAGAGATATATGTTTGTTATATTATGTAATAAATTTATAATTAAAACATGAGGTGGCATATTTTTGTTCCTGCTTTAGTGTCTCATTAGTGGAAATGAATCAGTGATGTCTTTGGCTCAAAAGACACTTAAATATGCTGTTTTTTCTTCAACATTATCACCATTATAGAAATGGCCAAATAATGTTAAGGAAGCTGACAGGAAACAGCCAAACAGTTATGAGTTAAATGGCATCCAAAAACCTGAAGATCTACAAACAAAATGTTATTTAAATAAATCATTTAGTGATATTGACTCAATTGCAGATATGTACATGTTCATATATTAATCTCTGGGTTGTTTGAAATGTGTTTTTGTTTTTTTACATAAAATCAAATAAATATTTTTTTCTCCCAACACTAACATTAGATGGATAAGTCTATATTGTTTTTTTTAATTACAAGATACATGCAAACTTACACAATAACATTTAGTAAAGTCAACATTATTTTTTTCTAATGCTCTGATGTCAGTTAAATTAAAATGAACATCAGTTCTGCCAAAAGCAATGGCAAAGGTTTGAACCAAAATTATGCCAACAATTAGTAAAAGCTTTGGTTAGAAACCTTTATTCTATGCTTTGTTAAAAAATATTTCCCCAGATTTTTCCTTTTTTGTCATACGTCAGTGTTTCATATCATCACACATTTACATCCATGTGGACCTCATTCTAATCTTGAAGGAACACGAAGGGAGCAGGCAAAAATGTCTCCAAAACCTCTGGTTAGCTTAAAGAATGCAAAAAGTTGTCAGAATTTTATTTTACTTCAAAATGTCAAATGAGTTAGAAAACATCTGTTTTCTGAGGTTACCTTTATCTGGTACTAAAATCTGTTTGATCTGAAACTGTAAAAATACCAAAAAAACTGAAGAAATCTGAAATCTGTGAGTGCAAATGCCTTTTACACTGAACTACATACATTCAGTAGCCTGCATGCATGTCGCTTTTCTATACTTTTGCTTCTGTTCCAATTACAAGTTTGAAAAAGTCTGAGAATTTGGGCAAATGCAAAACAAAGCTTGACAAAAGGCAAAAGTTGTATCTCCAAACTTTATCCCTATTAAAGTTGCTTATCTTCACAGTAACAGACTCGGGTATGACTAACAGCTGTTTCTTATAAAACGCTGATGTTCAGTTGATTACGAGGCATCACAGCAAGATGCAAAGGGTCATGATCACAGTTGGTTATAGGGTACATTAGGCTTTCATTTACAAGGTGCTAGAAAAAAAAATTACATCATAAAATTAATGCAAGTAAAGCAGCCTGCTGGCGCTCCACACAACACTACACACAAACACTGAGAACAGCAGGAAATACACTTTATAATTGCACATTATCTTTGCTGTGTCACTTTTTCATGCTTCACATTGCTATTACACAGAGGACAGTTTTTGTCACACTCCAGAAAACATTCTATTAAAGTAACTATAGCTACAACAGTTTCAAATTGTGAGCATAGGGGCTAAAACACAAAAGCTGAAAAAGTAGATGGAACCAAATTATTACATTGGGCTCATTTCCTGGTTCCTTGCACTGGACAGATGGACAACAGTGACTGAAACTGATCACATGACCGTTTGCAGCAAGATACTTTCAATCCAGTAAGTTAAATGTTCAAAACTTAGACAAGAATAAATAATGTGCCAGTTGATTCAAACCCTTCAAGCCAACTCAGGACTCTCTGCTTTCAGCTCGTCCTCCTCGGCCTCAGAGTTCTCCTCTTTCTTTTCCAGGTCAAAGTTCTGTGAAGGAAGTGTGACAGAAAATGTAATATGATATTTTTTTTGACAACTAGATTAGCAAATGTCTTCATGTAAAAACACATCTAAAAAGGCAACTGATGAAAATTCCCAGGTTTTCATTAGAAATGTGAAAAAGTATCTGAGTAGGACAGACAGACATACCTCTAATTCTTCTAACACTTCATCCATGAAGTCACTGGGGTTTTTTTTGTAGTCCACCGCTCTGTTAATCATCTCTCTGAACATCTGATGGGACAGGAGAGTAATTGAGAAGTTCAAATTTAGACCCAAGTAAAATTTAAGACCTTTGTCAAACAAATGTAAGATTTAAATTTAAGACCTAAATGAATTATGCAAAAATAACCAACTTCTTTGCTTTATATTTAACTGTCTTTATATCTCAAGCAACTTTGTAAACTTGCAACTGTTTAAATTTAGCTCTGGTTTGTTGGATTTTACACCTAGCCTACTAAACGTCAGCCCATAACGCCACACAGTAAGGCTCAAAACTGAAATAAAAACAAGTTTACGCAAACAAGTTCAATGTCTTGCGTAATTAAGACTATAAAGAATAGATATTGATATGTCAACATTTCTTTCTGGTTTAATTTAAGACATATCAGAGCCTACAATTAGATTTATTGAATTAGTTTGAAGACCATCCACAAACCATGAAGTAACACAGAAAGCTTATGAAATGATTGGGAACAGTTTCACTTGTTTGTACTGTTATTATAGACTAAATGGAATATTGTTATTCTGTCCATTAATGTTAAAATGCTACAAAACGAAGAGCAAACAGCTAAGAAAACAACAAAGCCAAACCTTTACTACATTGGTACCATCCGCTGCAGAGACAAAGTAAAACGGAAGCCCTTGTTTCTTCGCAAAGCTAAAACTTCTCTGTGTGACCTTCAAGTCGGCTGCAGATGGAAGAAAGAAACGTCACTTTAATCTAATAATCATTTTCCTCACCAAGAAAAAAAACCTATTTTACAAGTGAAAAGAAGCAATACCACATATTCTGCTATAGCAGCTGAATAATAATTGTAAGCTTTCATGCCACAACCAGACTTACCATCGATTTTGTTAGCTACCACACAACAGGGAATCTCAGGTCTGTACTCTCTTAGCTCTTTATACCAGTTGGCTAAGTTTTTGTATGTGACCTTCCTTTGAACATCAAAAACCTGAGAGGAAAAACAATGAAACAGCTTTCAGTTAATCAAGTGAAAACGTGTATCCGGACACTGTGAACCAGCCAGTGGAAGTAGCAAACCTGCACTTTAACAGGAAACATTGTTGGAAATGAAAAAAATAAACAAATCTTAATGAAAAGTATTCACCTAACAATGTGTTTTTTACACTCATCTGGAAATGTTTCCTGAAGAACTCTGATTATAAAGCTGACCATTTCAGTCTTCCTTCATCATGTTTTACAACCCCTTCAGTCTGTAATATTTTTAAGAAAATGTTCCAAGAGTCTATGCAGTGTTCCCACATTTATCTCAGACATTTTGCTGCGACCGTACAGAATGAAAGTGAAGGAGGAATATGATTACAATCAAATTAGACGAAATGGACTAATTCAAAGTGACTTAGTCCATTTGAATTAGTCCAACCCTTGTTTCTTCGCAAAGCTAAAACTTTGCAAAGAAAATTGAGCACAGAGCTCAATTAAAGGAGCTCTGTGCACATGCAAATCTCTTGAATTCACATTGAATTATGACTTAAAACAGCAAATATTATGAGCTTTAATAGGAGACCAACCTAATACAAATGTTTTCATTGATTGATTTTGTTTTTGTGGTTTTAAAAAACCAACTGTGTCTTACCATGATACATGCGTGAGCTTTGTGATAGTATGAAGGATGCATGCTCAGAAATCTCTCTTGACCAGCTGTGTCCCAGAAATCTGTGGATCACAATCAGGAACCACTGTTAAATGCAGCGTGTGACGATTGTCATCTGGGTAAAACTAACGTCACAAGAGCACAACCACTCACCGACTGTGACAGTCTTGTTTCCTACATTCGCTGTGTGTTTGTACAAAGTCAACGCATACGTGGACAGCTGCTGTGGACGACTGCGCGAAGAGTGTCAAAGATCTTAAATAATCTGGACCATAAACATTTAAATTTAAAACACAAAAAAGCAACTTAAGGATACAACTCGTCCATAAGAAACCGCTCCATCAGCCTGCGAGGAAAAGAAAGAATCGATGTTTCATCTGATCAGACAGCCAGGAATAAAAAGGTTCATGTGTTATTCCAGTTGAGACTCACTTTGATTTCCCCACAGCGCTGTCTCCCAGGCAAATGATCTTCACTTGTTCGCGTGCATCGTATTTCTTTTGGTCTAGTTCAGGGATGCAGCCAATGTGATCAGCCATTTCCCCCCCTGGTTCCTCAGTAACGTGTCGTGTTGAAGAGAACTTGAGAACCACCAGGTGAATCTCCTCGGTCAGAGCTAATATAGAACCGCTAGTTAACCTCCCATCAGCGGCCAGCTAGCTTCTTTAGCCGATTACTCAACTGCTTCAACAGCGTTTATTTTGCCATACTAGAACACCTAAACTGACGAGAGCACCGTTACCGTTACTGACTTCATACTCGGGCTCGCAATGAGTTTTCGGACACTACGCTTCATTGTTCATCCCAGTTAAAGATGTAACAACTCCGCTAATTACAATCTAGAGAATAAACAACGACTGAGCTTATTAAAACGGGTGCTGTTTACCGCAGAACAGATTCTGGTCCAATTTCTGAGGGGAAACTGGTCGGTGAACGCACGACGTCCCAGACTATTTTCGTTTCTATGCAACAGGGACGCACACAGGACCACTGATCTCTGCTAAGCTGTCCTTACAAATGCCTGACTGAAAATGCAAACGTACTGAATTCAATTATAGTTCATTCATTCATTCATTCATTCATTCATTCATTCATTCATTCATTCATTCATTCATTCGTATACTTTCAGACAGAGCCCAGTGTTTTTTAGGGGCTTAAGCACAGTTCTATTTGGAAATCAATAAACAAAACAATCAACAGAACAACACAAAAGGAAGAAAAAAATTATATTAATTTTATTAAAATTTCTAAAGACCTGACAACGTTTATATATATAAGCAGTATCAGAATACTGCTTTTGAAGTGCCCATGCACTCCATGGTTTCTTTTACTTTTTCTGGCAAAATTGTAAAAAAAAAAAAAATCATCCAGTAGAGTTTTTGGCACAAAACAAGAAGTAAAAAAGAAGGATTCAAAGACAATCACAAAGCATTATTTACTGATTTTCTTTTGCTTACTAAATATCTTTAAAATGAAAATTTAAAATCCATCCAAAATAAATGTAATTTGATAGTATTTTGAAAAAAAAATTCTTCTGACAATTGAATATAAAAGCTAGAAATTAAAGATGACCCAATTTTTGACATTTGTATAAACAGCATGACAGGGCAAATATGATAAAACACGATCTCACTAATTGTGATTTTCTTTTTTCTTTTATCTAAACCCAGCTTTCTTCCTTCATTCCTTTATAATGAGGGGCGCAATGTATTGTGAATGACGGAGTCCAAAGGTGAAACTGGGAGCTTTAGTTCTTGTAAAGGTGACCTAGAATGAAAAAGATTTACATTTTAACAAGTATAACACCTCCAGCCTGTTCTTATAAAAATAGGATGTTTCTTACATTCTCAGGATAGTGTGCTCCTGGGCCTGGTTTTCTTGTGTTTTCCTCAGGAGCAAAGCTGCGTCCGTTCATACTGTACTGTGGAGGTTTCTGCCTATATATAGAGGGGTCCACAACTTTATAGGCAGCAGGGCCTGGAGATGGAGTCTGGAGGAAAAGTCACAGGACAGAAAAATCAGTATTTCAAGGTTTTTTGCGGGGTTTTGTTACGTCTTCTTTAGGGACCAAGTATTCTTTGTAAACCTTGTTATGGTCTTCGTGGAAGCTTCCAGTTTTTCCACGGCCTTGAAGTGTGTAATTGGGTGCTGAAGGTGCAACTGCAGTTTTACAGCCCAGCATGGGGGGCAGAGTGTAGGTGGCTGGACCTTCAGTATTAGTGAGAAATGTTTTTTTATCTCTGCCTTCTGAGGTGAAGCTACTTCTATTCACCATAATATAAATACTACCTGGTGTTTGTGTGTTAGTGCGATCTCTTCTCCTCCCATACAGGGAATAAGCAGGAGCTGAACGGATGGTCATCTTTCCAGAACGTTCTGGGGAATAATGGCCTATAAGGTGCCAAGGAAAATGAGAAAAAGACCCAGATGAAAGGCAAGTTTGTTGTATATTGCTGTTATCAGTACATGTGTGCATTTCCAAAAAAACACCTCCACCGACCTGGTCCGGGCACATGGGACATTTGAAGCTGCTTCGGTCGGCCGAGAAGAGAAAATGCAAGCATTTTACTTCTGCCCTTCATGGTCATGTTGGAGGGGATCAGATATCTTGGACCAGGAGAGCAGTTTGTATTCACTTCCTCATGACGAGCACCAAAGGAGAACATTGGCGCCCTACATTTGGTAGGATCATGCTGAGAAGCACCTTTTCAGACCAGAGGCAGTGGTTACCTTCAGATGTATCAATAATATATTTACTGATGGAATATTCAATTGTGCTCCTACCTATCAGCCCAGGAAGGGAATAGTTGGGCCCCGGGCTCCCGTAGAGAGCAGCTATAGGCCCTCTTGGTCTGTGAGGCCTCCAAGATCCAACCCAAAGCTCATCACTTGGCATTGCTTTGAGAAAACTGATGAACATTTGAGTTATAAAAAAGACATTCAAACAGTCAGAAATTTGCTTTATTTTCTCTCAAAGTATTTGCAACTCTATAATTTTATCTTGCTTTTAATATTAACCACATACATGTTCAATTAACACAAAGTTCAGTTTTCAAATAATATCACATGTCAAGATTATTGAAGTCTAGACTTTGACTAAACCCTGCTAGAAAGCTGAAAAAGCACAACAGCACTAGACCATCACACTGCCCTGTAATTTTGGGCTGCTGGTATGATGTTCTTTTTCTGAAATGTGTTAGCTTTACAACAGATGTAACAACATGCACATCATTCATAAAGTTCTCTGCATGGATTCCTGGCCGTGTGGCCTGGCAGAGATTTAAACAGGACCTTCAAAAAGACACGAGGAGGATTAGCAGCAATGCACCAGCAATGGATGGCACCCTAGCTGGTGGCATCCATGACATGTAAATTGTAAAATATCTTCTCTGCTGACAGGATATTCAGCTGTTAACATGTCATGACACTCATAACTCTGTCAGATAGCAACAGTCTTCAGTCAGAGTCTTCTTCAAATTCATTGCAAGACTTGATTGCTACTGGAAATCCTTGCTGCCCACAGCTTCACCACAAAGTCTCTTCAAATATATTTGAATGACACGAGTAAAACATTTACTTTCCCCTCTGGAATAAACATTGTAATTGAATTACACAAATGTACAGTGAATTTTGCTACAGATTAACATAAGTCTCTTATTTCCCATTTTCAACATAATGAAGTTCAAATGTGGAAATTCTGAAAATTCACTTATGAAATGACTGGAAAAACAAAAAACAGTGAACGGCTTCCATAAAAATGAAATCAAACACCACAGCAACATTGCACAAATTGAGTACAACCTTTCATTGTCAGGTACTACATTTAATAAACAGATGGATTACTTTACCTCATAAAGTTCCTCATCCAGTTGCGAGTGTGTGTTTCATACTTTAACCTCAGCAGGTCCAGTGAACCCAAACACAGATTGTGAATTGCTCGGCATTGCTGCTATGGCAACATTGTCATGGAAAGGACTCTTGCAGTCATGCTCAGTATGCGTTTAGAGTTTTTTTGGTTTTTTTTCTGGAAGTGCAGAGGATCTCAGGGAGGTGAAAAGAAAAGCATTTAAAATGCAGATTCTGGAAATGATTTATTAGTTCTGAAAGGCTGGAACCAAGGCATGGGCCGCCTCTGTGCCTGTGTGAATGCACTGTTTGGATTTGGCTTTGACTTAGGTGAACCATTTAAAGAAAATATTAACTGACTTGACTTTAACAGCCAGAAACGTTGTTTTGTTGTTTAATGCAAGAAGCTGGTATAAATGATCACATTAATTTTCTCAATTATGCTTTTGTTTAATTCATGACTGCAACAGTGACAACATAGAAATGAAGGAGCTACAAAGTTTTGATATCACATTTTTATTCATAAGTATTATGGAAATGTTTTTAATCCAATTACTTAACTAAATAATTTCAGGGAAATATTTAAAGTCCATACAGTCATCTCATGTTTGTTTTTATTTAAACCCCTCAAAGTGTAGCATTGATGCTGCAGGCCCTCTTGATTTGTCTGTGCATACTGGAAGTTTCTCTCAAACTGGCCTGGAGTACTTTCATCAAGGGACCAAGGATTCCAATTTTCTCTTGTGGACTCTGTTGGGTAAAAAAAAAAATACTGTTAGTTTTAAAGCATTAATATTAAGGTAAACATTTTAATTCTAAGGTTGTTTTACCCTTGTAAGTGTACATATGAGCCGTCGGAGGATGGCATCCTCTCTGTGTGGACACAGGCTAATCACTGTACTCACACAACTCAGCAGGCAATAGATTGTATGTCTCTGTGGCTGTAAATATTGGATATATATTAACTGAAGAACACAGGCAATGTTATTTTTTATTATGTTGAAATGATGAATGAAATTGAGATTAATATTGGACATCCATACTGAAAAAATGTTTGAAAATATTATGTTTTGGTACTTGCCTTCTTTAGAATGCTGAGAGGATTTCTGTTGTTTCCTACTTTTAATCTTTCTACATCCTCACTGCTCAGAACAGGATCCTAGATCAGATTCAAAGAGATAAATATAAATATGAGAGTTCTAAAAAGGAATACACAGTGTGGAAAACTAGTTTTTTTGTTTGATACAAACTGACCCTTAACTTCTCCAACCAGGTCCATAAGAGACAACAAAGGACCTGAGGATCTGACTCCGTGACCATCAGGGCCCATCCACAATCACTGCTGTTCAGTTCCTCCTTCAGAAAACATGGAAGTTAATACAGTGAAAAACAAGTAATATAATGATCGGAGAGACGTGGAGAATTCTTATTTATACCTGCAGCAGAGCTGATCTCTGTAGGACGGTCTCACCTAGAGGACCTTGATCTGCCATTGCTTTGGCTACCTGTCGGGCAATCAAGGTCGGGCCAGGGGTCTGTAGATTTCTGTACAACTTTATATGAGAGAGAAGATAATTTTTGCTGCATTTTGAACAAACATCACTTTTCCTTTAAAGAAAAATACTGTACCTCCTGGCTGGAGCTGCATTTCAGGGTTTTCTTCTTAGTTGAGCTTTTTGGCATTTTTGTGCAGCTGCTGCTTGTTTGTATGTTTGTCACTGCAGTGTTGAGCATGTGGAACTCCTTTCTGAGATATAGTTGCCCAAATGAAAATGTGCCAAAGACTGGACTAGCTGGTCTGAGATCAGCTTGTAGGAGGTCCTTTAAGTACCAGTGCTTCTCATCTCCAAGAGCTGCAGTGCAGTATGAGCTCAGTTCCTGGTCCTTCAACAGAGAAGTCATAACAGTGAGTATTATCTCCACAGCCGACTCAAAACTATTAAAATATTTACAATTGTGAATGCGTTTCACCTCGTATACTATGATCTTAGTAACGTCAGATTCACTGTAGCTACGTTTGTCCAGCAACACCTCCTGTTTCCTCTCTAAGAACCCCAGAGCCTCGTCCCAGGAGTACAGTGACCCTGAGCCGGCCCACGAGCCTTTTCGGCCTTCACTCAACAAAGGCAAATACTGCTTGGACACAAGAGTCTCTCTCACAGCTCTGCTCAGAACCCTCAGAGCTGATCTCTTCTCCAGTTCAGCGTAGACCTCTGGAGGAGAGGCCAGCCCCAGAGCCAGGCAGGAGAGCCGCACACACAGGAGGTACACCACCTAGGTCAAATGGGGTCATAGAGGATATCCAGGTTAACTGTGACAAAGTGCAGCAATGTTTGATTGTAGAAAGATTAGTGTAGCATCATGGCTCAACCTTGGGAGTGTGTCTGAGTCTGCGTGCCTCCTGGCCGTGAAGCAGCAGAGCTTGTCGGTTTAAGTAGTGCTGGAGGGTGAAAGGGGCCCCATGCCGCAGGCTGAGGTCGGGATATTGAGTGAGTTGCGTGCCGAGCAGGCGAGCAAAGTCAAACACCTGGTTTATCTGCGACCGGGTCTGGATGGAACGAGGCCTTTTAATGCGCACGTAGTGAACCGCTTCGCTGGGACTTATACGCAAGGTGTAGATGAGGTAACAAGCTATCAGGACACCTTTTAAACAGCAAAAAGAGAACAGCAACAAACACCCAAGAACTCTGAGCATCAAATAATGTTATGTAATTCCTTGCAAAAGTATGTTAGGATTTTATTATCCTGGTAAAGATAAAAAAAAAAAAGGTATGAGAATACTTTTGCATGGCATTGAACATAACAACTGAATGCAACATTTAATCTTACCTGTCCTGCCCATGCCTGCGTGACAGTGAACGGCTACACGTCCTTGCTTCACAGCAAAGGCCAAAACCTTCACCCCATCGATGATTCCAACAAGAGACGACACACCAAAGTCTGGCATCCCAAAGTTGTAAAAGTAGACTGAAAATGAATAGATTAAAATAGGATTGCAGGGCTGCCTCGTGTTTAAAGAGTCATTTGATTTGAATTTATTCTTAGCTACTCTGGGGGGAAAAAGCAGTGCAGAATAACATACAAAGTCTAATAATATTTTTCCCCAGCGTAACACAATAACAACTTGCTCTGCTGCTTTTTCCTACTAATGTAATGTATGCCTCTAAATAAGTATCTTAGCTTCTCACTTTTATTGTCCATGAAGGTCTGTGGAGAGTAAGTGAAACCACTCTGAAGGTCTAGAGGAGGCCCACAGTGAGCATGCTCCCCAGGGAGCTGCATGTTGATGATCGATCTGATCTCCAACCTGGAAGCACAGAAGCCAGTCGAGTTGTTTTGTATGTGTCTTAATGGATTTTGAGACAAAAATGTGTCGAGCCATTACCTTTGAAATTGCTCTATGATGTTGTACTTCTTGATGAGATGATTGGATGGACGAGCCATTGCTATTATATCATCGGTCACCCTGGATCAGTTGAGGATTCGCAACCAACAAACTTTCCTTTATTTTATATTCAACACCATAATCTTTGAGACTGAAGTCACATCTTCTCACCAGGAGGAGAAAAGGCCTCGAATGACTTGCTGGTTTGATTTCCAGCATTCTGGTCCCTCATAGCGACAGTCCTTTCCTCCACAGGCCAGCAGGCAGAGAAGCTTGGGGGGGATGGCTCTCACCAGGTTCTCCCTGGCCTGAGAGTAGGACGGCCTCGGAACTGGAACATGCAGGCTCAAATTTGGCATCATCCTGCGAACACAGACCTAGCCCTGAATTTTGAGCACTGATTTACGACATGCCATACCACGGCAATTTACAAAAGAAAAGTAATTTTAGTTCAATCATTAATACATTCCAATTGTTCCTATCAAACAGTGTATCCAGTTCAGTTTGGTTTAGAAGTTTTCTGTTTAAGAAAACCCAGTAGATTACATCAATTCATTAATTTGCAGCAATTGCTCGAACTGAGCATGAATGAAGCGACAGTGGAGAGGAAAGACTCCCCTGTAACATCTCCAGCTACCTCCAACAGAACCTGGTTGAGTATAAGAGGTCATCTGCTATGATCAAAAGGTGGTTGGAGAAGACAGAAAACTCATGGGAAGTCCAATTTAAATTTTGCTTAAGTCTATTTAAAGGGATACATTAAATATGGGATCCTCTAAAAGGAAGAGAAAAAAAAATTGTTTTTTTTTTGGCTTATTTTGTAGCATTGCATAGTAGAAAACCAACAATAAATTCACCCTAAAAGTTTAGTTTCCATGATAAAACAGTGGTGGTAGAATGTTATGATACTTTATCTCAGCAGGGTCAGTTGATCAGAGCCAGTGGGAAGCTGAATGGAGATGAATGCAGGACAATCCTTGTTTACAACCTGCTAGAAGCTGCAAAAGCTGTTCCTCAAGAGGGGTGAATACAAATTCAAGTCACTATTTAGATTTGTTTCACCTTGCAGTCATGTGCCATGTTGTGTTGGCCTATCACATAAAATCCTAATCAAATACTTTAATGTTTCCTGTTCTAATCAGACAAAACATGAAAAAGTTCAAGGGGTAAAAACCCTAAAATTAACTCTACAAATAAAATGACCTGACAGCTCACACAATAATTACTTTGATGACTTACCTTAGTTGTTATGATGAACACTACAGCTGTTAATCCCATTCAATTTATTCCCCAGCAATAAAACATTTGAAATAGGGAGAGAAAGGCTCTGGACACACATGTGCCCCTCCGTCTTGACCCTCTCTGCTCACACACTAACAGAACCGAGTGATGAGCCAGCTCCACTAAGCCTGATTAGCTGTCATAATTACATTAGAAAAGACATTCATGCAGCGTAGCAAGCCAATGCTTATTCCTTCACCTCTCCAAATGACCTAATTACTTGCAAATAGCCATGGTACCATACATGAATTTGCATTGCTTGTGATGTTGACAAATTTAATTTTCAACCATAGCCTCACAAGTTTGCATGCAAGAAGTCTGAACAAATTTAAATGCAGTGAGAAATTGAAAAGAAGATGAAAGACGTTGCTCATCTGCTGTTTGCCGGTGCGTTTCTGAGGGAGGTTATGACACAGATTATAATCCTGCAGTCATTTGAACTGTTCTTAAACCTTAAATTTATTAAGATTATCTCCGGACACAGCGTCTCTCAACATCCAGCAACAGGAGCCGCTTGGTAATGATGATGTGAAGCTGTAAGCTCCACCTCCCACATCTTTGCTCAGTTCCCGTAACAGCCATGTTTGAATCACAGTTTAAGACACAATGTTTTATTTTAAGAAGCAACGCATTTGTACTGAAAAGTAATCTGTGTAAAAATCTTTATGACAAGCATTTTGCATCTTTTCACACTCTCCTTGCCGTGACACTAATTTTTAGTTCCCTCTTCAGAATTTTTTTGTTTTCAAACAGCAAAAAAATCTGTTTTTAAGCAGTGGCATACTTGAAAAATAAATCTCCAAACTTCTTTTTATGTGCAGATCTTCACAAGAGTGCACGATCATTAAAAAAATGCTCAAAACAGGTTAGTGTAACAGTGGCTTTATTCAGAGCTTTTTGTTTTAAAAGACACTGACAACAAATATCTTGAAGCTGGAATGTACACTAAGATAAACTGATTGGTCGATATACTTTTATTAAAGAGAAAGAGGAAGGAAATTATACTTTACAGTGTTTGTTACAAAGTCAACATTACATGTTGCTGGAAATTTAAAAAAAAAAGGGGGAAATAATATGAGACTTCACAGTATTGCAATGTCTCAGGTCCTGTGTCAACACTGAGAAAACACTTCCTTCCTCCTTTGGGCTGAAGCTACTTTCTGTTAGATGACAGAAAAGAAAAAAATGTTTTGCTGGTCTTAAAGCACAAAACGAAGCATGTGAAAACAAAATTCACAAGAAACTGAGATAAGTGAGAATAAGGAAGTCACGAGACATTAATCTATACTCACAGTGGTGTGGTTCTGCTGCAACATAGCATATAATGCAGCACAAAGTGGAGAGTTGCATAACTTTATCTCGCAAAAGCACAAAGACAAATGCATCACAAGGAGGAGCTTCACCTAGACAGTCTAGGTAATCTGTTTTTTTTGGCACCATACTACAAGCAAATTACTCATCAAGCCACAGGCCTACAAAACAGTTAGCTGGCACAGAATTAAAACAAAAGACCAAGCATCCAGAAGTTTATTAACAGCAGGGGGTATGACAATTAACAGCTTGAGGGAGACCAGCAGTCAACCTCTACCATCAATCCTAAATTTAGAAATGCATTTCTTTCTGTGAAATCTCCAAAAATATAATTTTGCTCACCATGAAACAAAAAGAGTAAATGAATGAGTGTGAAAAGGAAAGACCAGGCACAAAGAAATAAACTACTGAAAATATGAAAAACAAAGCATAAAACAGGGATTATCATAACTGAGTTAACTGTCCAATAGGCTGGAGGTTTTTTTGTAAACATTGGTGCTAAAACAAACTGGCTCTGGATTGAACGTCTGAGTCTTTTCTCATGTCCCGTGTTGATCAGTCACACTCTGTCCAGCCGATCCTTCATTAGTTCTTCGACAGCTCTTTGGACAGCCAGTCAAGTCCTTCATACAGCCCGGTGCCCTGGGTGGCGCAGGTGGATTCAATGTGCCACTGTGGAGAGAAAGGGAGTCTGGCTCTCAGGAAGTGACCATCACAACTCAATAAAGTCCACAGATTTAAAGCAAGAGTGGTTACTTACTCTTTTGCTGCGAAGTGAATGTAAGCCGAGTCTGTCTGCCAGTTCACTGACTGATATGGCATTTGGAAGGTCCTGCTTATTGGCAAACACCAGTAAGACGGCATCTCTCAGCTCATCTTCCTGAAGCTGCAAGAATTACAGATTCCCTATCAGATACAACAGCACAGATTCATTTGGCCAAAAGTCAAAAATAATAAACTATGACACAGTCCGCTCTGATTTGTGACCACCAGGTGAAATACTGAAAAATCTTTTTTTTCCCCCCATTTAACAATTCATTAAAACTAAGAACTACAACAAATTTCAGTCTATTCCATAAACTTCTGATGGAATTTGATTTTAGAGATTTGATGCACAAGTAAGGATAAACTTGTAATTCAATTGTTTTCTGTAAAACTTAAGGAAAGTTGTCTGATGTGGGAAGACAGAGGAGTTCTTAAAAGTCATCTGGAAATTGGAAATGCTTAAATCAAAAAAAAATCTGACTGGTGCATCACCAACTATCCAATTTACAAAAAAAAAAAAAAAAAAAAAAAAAGGGGGGCGATAAAGAACATTATGAAATCAGAAACACCACAAGCCGCGCAAACGATTACATTCAGTCTTTCTCCAGAAATATGTCTGAATCCTATCATAGGTTGTGCTCATTTCTCTCAATCAAAAAGCCCAAATCTTTCAAAGGTTTTCTGAACAAAGAGTCCAGAATTCCTTTAAGCACCAGATTACTTTGGAGGACATGCAGCAAAACATTTCATTTATCCAAACAGTTTGACACAACTTACATCTACACTTTGATATTCTTTTTCCATCACTCTAAGCTCTAAGCTAAAAAATAAAGTGTAAAAGCAAAAAATTAAAAATTCAATGTATTGTGAAAAAAGTTTTCACTGGGAAGTAAATTCAGAGCAATGCTGCCATTCAGAACTAGGCTGTCATGAAGATGCCTGCAAATATTGTTTATGATTTAACCTCATAATAAGATTTACAAGCCTCTTAAAGGCGACTTAGAGAAAGAAGGTGAAACCTTTGATCACCAGTGTTACTCAAAAACAAGCGGAGTCATAGCCATAAATACATAACTGCTGCTGGAACAAATAGAGAAATATTATTATCATTGCTTTTAATGACCTCATCTCTTAGACATGTATCCTGCTGTGAACCCCTGCAGCTACAAAACCAGCCAAACCTCTAGCTAAGTCTTTCTAGTTAACCCAAGAAATTTTTGGACACCCTCAGCTCAAAAAAATAATCAAATCATCAAGTTTAATGTCACATTTTTGATAACGTACCATTTTGGTGAGCTCCTCCGCAGACTCAACAATTCGTTCTCTGTCATTACTGTCCACTACAAAGATAAGACCCTGAGAAAAAGTAAAAATAAAATAAGAATTACAACAGAATAGATGTTTAGTATTGCACATTTGATATCAATACTAGTCTTGTGTTCAGTTTGAAAATACCTTCTCATAAGTAACATTTTATTTAGATCAAGCACAGAGAACAATCATCTTTAGTACTTTATTGCAACGTTTTTGTGACTTCAACATGTTAAACCGCAACTGTTTGTCACGTTGCAACATTCTCGTGCAGCAGAAAGAAAAGACTCCCCTTAGAATCACTTATTATTGAGTGATTATGTAATTTCACCTTATTTGACCTGTTCAAGAACTAGAATGTTTTTTGTAAAAATTACTTAAATCTAACATCTATGTTTTGTTTTCTGCTACAAACAAAAACTACGGACTGAAAATTCTCCAAATCAACAACAGAAAGCAAACAAGGAAGTAAAATAACAGAGAACGAAAGGAGGAAAGAATAAACAATCTCAGGAGTTTTAGAGTTGAATCATTGCACTGTGATAAATCCCCTCCTGAAAAAGTTTCACATCACATTGTAGCTGCATAAAAGGGTTTTTTCTCTCTGTAACTTCAAACTAAAAATGATCTCATACCTGTGTGTTCTGGAAGTAATGCCTCCAGAGAGGTCTGATCTTATCTTGGCCACCCACATCCCAAACGGTGAAGCTGATATTTTTATATTCTACCGTCTCCACATTGAATCCTTTCACAGAAAAGGGACAGACCAAAAACATTATTATGAAAACTGATAGAAGTACTTTAAACAAAAAAAGGGCTACGTTTCAAATAAAAATTCATACCAATGGTTGGGATAGTGGTCACAATTTCACCAAGCTTCAGTTTGTACAGGATTGTTGTTTTTCCAGCAGCATCCAGTCCAACTGAGGAAGGTAGAAAGAATATGACAAACTATTTAAAGAGCTCTTCACCTAATCATCACAGTAACACAAACACAGTATTTGACTGTGCAAAGTTAGTGCTGATATTTTCTGCCATGAGAGCAACTTCTGAAGTTAAAGTAATACTGTTTGTACTATAGTCATGTTTCTACACATATCTCAAGACTTTATTTTTGGTTAACTTAAACCTATAAAGTTTTGTTTGTTTTTGTTTTTTTTAATAACACTTATAAATGTATAAATGTAGATTCCACAACCTATAAATCAATGTTGTTCTGACAGCAAAATTTAGAGGCACTTTGTTTATTCTTTGGTCTCTTAGATTGGTTCTATTTTTATTTATTTATTTGAAAAGCTACTATGTTTTCATCCCCACTAACAAAACCTTTTTTGTCAAAAATATTTCCCGATCATAACAAAAAAGATAGGTAGTCAATGTGAGGAAACTATAGGAGTTCCCCAATCCTACAAAATTACAGGGATAATTGTCAAATTGAGGTCGTACTGTAAAAATCTCCTTGCAGCCCATTTCAAATTATGACTCAAAGATGTCTTTCATTCTCCCACCTTTGTTTCCGTGTAAATAATTATTGTAAATCAACGTCCAGTTGACAGTTTACAAATTTTCTTATGAGTCCCAACTAATCTGGATTTCCATTTAATAAAAAAAACATTTAATCCACAAATAAAACCCTTCATAGAAGCAGATCAAACTTCAACAACAGAGATTATTTATTTTTAGCTATTTGCTGCGGTCAGTGTATTCCTCTTCATACTTTTCCATCTCTGCGGGAACAAACCGTGGCTAGACTTTGCGTGATAATTTGGAGCATTTTGGAAAATTTTTAAAGTTCGGCGCTTAACTTTTTATTTTAATCTACATGTTGCTAACATTCCACAAAAGGAGGCCACATCAAAAGCCTGTTGCGCCAAACATTTTAACGACAAACCGTCCATTTTTTTTTTCTTTTTCTTGGAGGAGAACGTTAGATTTATTTCCGGAAACAGCGCGTTTTCTATCTATCTTATCACACTCACCCTGGAACGGCGGTTTTAAACATAACTTCATGTCAATTTTCTGTAGCAAGCGATGCTAACAGCCGTTAGCCAAACAAAACTTTCAACTCACCCATCAGAATCCTCATCTGTTTCTTCCCGAACAGACGACCGAAGATCGACGAGATGGTGAGCCCCATGGCTGCCCGAGGAGGGTTTTTTCACTATTTAAAACTAGAACTGATATTTAAAGCACGACGACAGCAAACGAAATGTATTTTTAAACGGGTCTGGCCACGATTCAGGGAGGGAAGTTACCGTGATTTCACTCCAGACTGCCACGTCCGGTGTAAACGTGGAAGGGGCAGCGTCATCAGCCTGAAGCAGCTTTATTTGTCCTCAAACACGGAGCCATGCCGGAAGGTTTTACATCATTTTTGAAAGTGTTTTTAGACAAAGCTGGTGTTTTATATCCATTTAATTGGTTGAAGGGGCTCGGGGATACGTTTCAATCCAGAAGAAAGAAAGCGTAAAATAACGTGTACTGTTACGTTTTTCCCCCAAACTTTCATTCACTTACAAGCCCAGTCACGTCCATTGAAATACCACTAGATGGCACTGTTTCACAGGATTTACTGCTTCTATTCAGCTGTAAATCCTGGTACAAACCAAGCTGTGTTTGTTTTATTGAGATATAAACATAGTTATAGATACATACATATATCAATGACATACAGAGACATTTGTATCTGTTAAAATATACCGTTGTGTAATTTGTGGAACTGCATAATATAGCAGCAGAAAAACAAGGAGAGGCAAACACAAATTTTACTATCTACTATTTTAATCATTTAAATACAGTTGCTAGAGCATTTTAAAAGAAATGTTCCAGTGAACATTATTTTTTATCCTTATTGGAAGTAAGACTGCTCATGTGGGGATTCCTGTTTGAAAGAATGCCATGATGCCAGCAGCTCTTACATAAGCAAAACCTCTGAGCAGGTGGAGTCAAAGCAGCAGCATATGATAAGACGGAAAAGTTTATAAAGAGTGTGTCCTGTGACAGGTCAAGACAGATTCCCAGAGGACTGTAATAAAGACACATTTCATAGCAGCAGATGTACTGGATGTGGAAATATGAATATGTCAAATTCTACTGTGGGTTCCAGTGGATTACTGAGCAGACAACAGGTAATTAAGAAAGTATCATTTGCAATGTTTCTCAAGGACACTTCTTATGATTTAAAGCTTTTTTTATTTTGTTTTTTCAGATTGATGCACTCTCTACATTGTACATAGTGTTGCTCTCTCTCAGGTATTGTGATTATTAATTATATTTCCTGGAATATTCAGTTGTTTTCTGAATATTTACAAATGAAACTGATGTAAGCATGGCTCATTAATGGCATTCTATTACTTCTCCAAGACATATTTGCCAAACCTGCATAGCAGCATGCTCAGTGAGGGCAAATGTTCTTTCTTTTTTAGGATTTCCCAAGTGCACTTACATAATGTAGCTGTGTGACTTTCATAGCTTGGAGTTGTACCTCAGTTATTCCCAGTAGAGTGTCAAATTCAATGTTTTGTCTTCTACGAATACTGTTTTATTGAACCAGGGGTTATGTTTTTACATATTACACAGGTGTGTTAATCTTGTTCTAGGATGATTCAGTTCAGATCAGGTGACAGAGTCATCAGTTTAGTGTTTTTTGTTTTTATAGTAACACATTTTTGGCTTAATTGGATTTTAGTTTCACATATACAAAAGATAATTTGCCTTTGTGTGTTTTATCTTAGCAGTGTTAACTCATATCTTCTAATTAAATAAAGAATTAGTGGTTGTTTTCTTAACATATAAATATTTATCAAATCCATCATTCAAAAAACATTTGTTTACTGTACAAATGAGTTTTAGCTGTCATGTTCACAAAAATCCAAAAGTATAATATTTTAATTATCATCTTGGCAAATTTTATGAAAATCATTCTATTTGAAGATATGTGTTTGCATTTCAAGTGATGTTTTAAGTTAAAGATTTAAGGGTCTTTTTCATGTTTTATTTCTTTTTGGAAGCTTAGAGTTTGTTTAAAATTAAAACAAGAGATTTCCTCTAATCTCACTATTTCTTCAATATCCGTAGTATGACTGGGAGTTTTTCAGTCTTGTTGGTTTCAACAATAAGATGGAGACACCTAAGAGGACAAGTGAGTCCAGGTTCTTATATTTTTAATTTTTGTGATGTTATGTGTAGAATTTTTATTACTAAGTCATAGCTGAAATGACTGAAAAGACAATTATTACCACTTGTACTTTTTAACATTTTGTCATGAGACAATCATACATTTTAAGATACTGCATTTATAGTTGTGTGATAAACCCTGAAAAGAATGGAGTAACAGGCATTCCTGTTATAATTTATGTTGGTCTATCACAAAAACCTCAATGAAATATCTCAACGTTTGTGGAGGAACATGACAAAACTTGAAAAATTTTCACGGGATATGAACGCGTTAGGTGGAGAATAACTCATCGCATTTGATGATGACAATTTCACATCAAGTCAGCATGTTTAAAGAGTATTTCCTTACAGGTTCACCTCTTGGTGCAGCTCTCTCTGGCGGACCTGCTGGCTGCTATCGTCCTGTTGTATACCAGTGTCATGAACAAAGTTCACCCTTTCAGTGCTATCGTCTGCCCATACCTTCTCCCATTGTCTCTGGTGAGAAACCGTAATCATTTACAAGGCTGGTACATGTTTGGGCAGATTTTTCTTTTCTTTACAGAAGGAAACCTTCTTCAAATCCTAGGTTAAAAGACAAGAAGAGATACAGAAAAATGGATTAAACTAACCAATTTAGTAAAAATGGTATTACTTAATAATGACTAACAATGTATTTATAATTTCAAAATATTAAGATTTAAAAATGTTATTTGTTTATATGTTATGTTTTCTTGCTCTCTGACAAACAAAAGTACTTACAGTTGTAGTTTGTTTCACTTCACAGTGCCACTTTAAGAACGATAGGCTGAGCGTTTGTGGCTTTTGTAATTTATTGCTGAACTTCCAGCTCATGTGGTCTTAACTCAAAGTTTTAAAACAAATGAATGAAGACTCAGCACCTCTTATCTTAGCAAAACTTTGCACAAAGATACAGTTTTAGAAAGTTTGTAGAAATAGTAATTACCTTTATTATGTTCTCAAAGAACATAATAAAGACAATCCTCATAAAACTGTCTGAAACTCCTCTGATCTCCCCCGCTGACTTGAAGCGTTAAATACTTGCATGCATTACTGTACTTTAGACTATTCCTTTTAATAACTTAAATGAGCACACTGTGAACGATTACTTGTGTAACTGTGTCTTCCAGACGTTTTATTTCATTTCATTCTTGTTGGCCATCGTTTACGCCTTGAAGTCGAGGAACGCTGTCCAGGGCTGGAGGGACAGAGCAGTAGATGAAGAAGATGAACATGTGAGGCAAAATGAGACCTTATTTTGATTTACATAAATTCATAATTTTTTAAAGATTTAGTCGTTTTATGCCTCTTTCTGTCTGTCTTGATTGGTAGAGTCAGTGCAGGAGAAAAATCAAAGCGATTCCTTTGTATGCCTTTGTGTGGTGAGTCTTTCAATTTTCCATTGACATACCTAAGTTTTCATAAGCAAGCAGCAGCTAACTTTACCTCTCCTGCATCGCAGGTTGACGCCACTTGCCATTTACTTTGTCTATGTGTGCACTCTGTTGATAAAACCTGCCACATTAATTCCTGCAAGCTCCAGGAGACAGGATGGGATCAGTGATAACGGTAGCTCGTACTGTCACAGGTGAGCATGATTTAAAGTCACACAAATTTATTGGAAATTGTCTTGTGTAATTTTTATATTCTTTTTTTTAAATATATTTTTTCCAGCTGTATTTTGTTCTTGCATATCTGGACGGATCCTTGTGTTGGAGTGGTGAGTGTCCTGCTGTTATAAACTTTGTTCCTTATTATTGCTGCATTTTGTTTGGTGGTCATGTACAATTTTTGTCCTTAACTTTTTTTTAACATATTTTTTAGGATGAGATACACAATACTTTCATCAGAGTTTTCCTTGCCATTGCAGTGATAACAGCAATGTTGTCTTGCTCTGTGAGTAATCAGCAGTCAGATTATGTCAACATCAACATTAAAAAGCCTTTCAAATAGAAATAGTTCCAATATAATGATGGTTTGACAACACCATCGAGAGACACAGATTTTATTTCCTGTTTTCTTCAGGTTATTTATTGGAAAATCGGGAAGTGGCATGAAAGGTACATGCAAGTTGGGCTCTTCCCTGTGGAAGGAGATGGGCATTCAAGAAGGCAATTCAGAAGAGTGTTTTCTACAGCACGAAATATTGTTATGGTCATATTATTCTGTTGGGCTCCAGGTACTTTCACACACGCGCACACACAATTAAAATGAACAATCATCAGTATTTTTGCTTGAAAACTAATATTTTACACTTGGTTCCTCTGCAGCACTCCTCCTTCTTCTGATGTCTCCCTTGATCCAAAAGAACGTTGAACAAGGCAGTTTATATCCACTATATGTGATACAGGTTTGTATCAGAAGACCTTCTGAGATAAAATGCCAAATGCCTTCATTGTTTACAGCTTTTTCAGCTTTGTTCAGAGTTGTTGCTCACAATATGTATTCATTTCTATTACTGAAAAACTGAAAAGTAAAAAGGCATAAGGAAGACCACGGACAATGGAACTGAAAGCTGCTAAATGACAGATGAAGTTGCTCTTGTAATGACAAACTTAGGCATAAATACAACCAAGATAGAAGCTCTAATTTTGTTTCATAAAGTGAATAGTTATATAGTAATTTATTCAGTGAGGAGGAGAAAGTTGAGAGAAAGTGTTTCTTGGAGCAGATAGCTTGGAGATTTAACAAACTGGCAACCTACAAAGATATTTAATTGCACTTTTCGTCCATGTTGTGAGTCACCACAGTGTAAAATTATTGCTCATGGCAAAAAATTGTAATTCACAGCACTAATACTCTGAGAGAGTTGTGGCAGATTGTGACTTTTGTACTCAAAGCTTCCACTCAGTTCTTTTTCCTTTTTGCCAATCATCGGCTATATATCCATTTGAGATATTCCCATTTGAAATGCTAAATGTACAATGGTTTGTTAAACACTGTAGATATAGATTGCTAATTCTCATCCATTAGTGTTTCTCAATTCCTATTTCAAGTGACAAGCAGCTAAAAAGGCATTTTTGCTGTCATAAACCTTTCAGAAATTACTTAAATAGGTTGTATTTTTCAAATACTACTTATTTGAAAAATGGGTAGCATGGCTACCTCAGTTACAACCTATTTTGTCAAATAGGTTTTAAAATTTTAACTGTTCAAAAGAGTTTGTTTTTACAACATTGTATGTTTTTATTATTGTCTTAGGCTGCCACTGTGTCTCTCCAAGGATTTCTAAACAGTATGGTCTACGCCTGGAGACGACCTAACTTCACAGATGCTGTTCTTGGAGAAATCACACCTCTGCTGAGATATAGACATAGGCCCTTCTTTGAGGAATCTTTTCGTCACTGACAACAAAAAAAATGCACTTTGTAATCTTATTATGCTCTGACATGGAGCACTGATCACAGAAAGACAAACTGGACACTTTATGACAGCATGGCTGTGTAGCCTGAAGCACAAACTAAAACTGAAAATGTAAAAAATATTGTATTTTTAACAAAGGAAAAGCTTATGCGTATGTTACTGAAACCATTGTGTGAATTTTGTCATCCTTTGATTGAATTTGTATTTATATCATTATAATTTAGGCTTAAATGTATTGAGGACATATGATATTCTCTTTATCAATTTATACAGATGTATAGATGTTGTTTGAAGATAAACCAATTTTATATTATTGTCTTTAAAGTGTTTTGTAATTGGTCTTATCTTGGTATGTCTGCCATTTTGTATTTATTCATTTTGATCATTAAAACGTTTCTATGACCAGCCATTCGATGACTTGTGATTTTTCAATCTTCTTGTGAAAAATAATCCATGTGAGTCCTGTGATGTGTGTGTTCTTTATAGCCAAAGTAATGTCATTTCACAAACTCGTGCTGTGGCAGTAAGTTCAATGTTTGGATTCTTTAAGTGTTGGAGCCCTGAGGAATGCTGAGCGGCGACAGAATTGTGAGAGAACACTGTATCTGCACTTTCACAATCGTGTGTAACCACAGCTGTTAACGTATCTCATGAAAGGAGCAGTGCATGTTTAAGCAGCCCGGGTCACACATGGGACGTACACACGTTGGGTGTACTGTACACTCACAACCATGTTTGCATGTTTTTAAGGTGATAGTGTTCCTCTGACAGTATTTTTTAAAGGAATTGTTCATGCTCAATTCCAGCCTTTTCTAAACTTTTTATTCTGCCACAGTGTGCCCATCTTCTGATGGCTACCTCGGTTATATTACTCTGTTTTGGAAATCTAAGTCATGAATGTGCAGCTGACAAAATTACAACTGTTTGATGCTCTCATGTCAACATGGATCAACATCTTTAAAGAATGTCTTTTGACATCTTGTTGAATGTGTCACAATGAATTAAGAAACTCTAATGCAAAGTCAACTCCACCCTAGAACTGGCAAAGTAGCTGCTAAAAATATAGACAATATTTGAAATAGTTATATGGCCAAAACATGACTGTTAAGTAATCGGCTATTAATATTGATCATGAAGAAACATAACTTTACCAATGATTCACTTTTTATCAGTATCAAAGTTAATAAGAAGCAAACTTTTCTGACTTGTAGCTGATGGGTGTATTCACATGCTGAAGTAAGTGCAGGTTTTATGGCCATCAATCATTTACAACATTTTTGTCTGAGCCTTCACCAGCTACACTGCTAAAAAAAAACAAAACTGTGTCTTAACCCGGTGATCAACTTTCACAACAGGTTGCGGCTTTGCAAACGCTCTTTTTGAGTATTTTTTGTCTAAAATAACACAACTGAGTATTAAAAAATATTGTCAATAAATCTATATAAAGATCTATGAAGATTAAAACTTTGATTAGTGTCAGTCAAACTCAAATTTCAATTAAAGGTTGGCTTCTTATTTATGTCAAAGACATTGTTTGCCTCGAGGCAAAAGAGTAACAAAATCTTCTACATGATCAGCTGAAACTTCTGAAAAGTACTTCAATTAGTGTATGTTTACTGATAATATCCCTCCATGGTGTGAGAAATTACAAAGGGCAACGGCAAAATCACAATTTTCTTTTGTTTTTCAGATTAAATTAACACCATAAGCAGTACTTGAGCAGTAAATTTGCTGAGAAAAGGTTGATCTACTCTTCATCAAATACAAAGCTTACCTTATCTCAAAACCAAATTGTTGAGTCATTGTCCTGCTGTAAAAGGTTATACAGTTACAGTGGGTGCAACTGTTGACCTTGTTTCGCTTTCAACTGTGCTGTTTATTATATAATGTTCCACTGATTAGCTGCCTATTCTTGAGCACTTTAATACAGACAAAGAGTCCCAAAGTGTCCAATAGATCATCTTCTTACTGTTGATAACGCCATTGAGTTTGTTTTTTTTTAAATAACATTTTTATTTATAAAACTAATGTTTTTAAACATCTTCAACAGGCTAGTGATTCTTGGGAACAACAGGCCAAAGGTCAAAACCCAGTTTAATAAGGAGGAGACGTAATGGCAATAAAAAGCCATGATAATTCATCTGAATGACAGCTGTTGCTGTGATAATTTTCCACCAAGTGAATTTGTTAAAGATCGAGTTGGACAAATTTGAAATGTCCCAACTAAAAACTTCACAAGTTTTATAAATGTTGTGGCTGTGGATGCCCTAAATACTAGATGAAAATAATCCTAGAATGTCATATCAATAAAGAACAATAAAATTTATTTTTTAATGTTTACACTTCCTGTTCAAAACTGACCAAAACAACGAAACAAAGTCTAACTCAAGGTCATTTCTGGATTTTGGTTTCATTTTGATTATTCCTACTAAATTGTTAAATGATCTTTTCTCACGTGTGGAATGAAACTGTGTCAGTCATGAAATGAGAAATATTTAACACAAGTTTATAGTGTCTGAGAAAAGGTTTGTATGCCAGTGGGACGTCTAACACACTAGGTCAAATAGTTTTGTGGGGTAAATTCCGGTTATCATACTTGTAAACACACTTGTTAAAAGAAACCAGATCAAAACACTTGTCACTACTGGGAAGATCCACTTTTTGATAATTTATGTTGATGGCTCAAATAAAAACTGTGAGGTATTTTTCCATTAAAATGACACTTTATGTTGAAGCATTTCAACATCTGAAACACACTTGTCAAAAAAGAGAAATAGAAAGCATCTCAATGTGTGAAGACTAAGAATCCTCAATTTATATTCATAAGGGTGATACAAAATTATCTATAAACACTTTGGAATAATCCCATCTGGGCTTTGCTGATCTATATTCTGTACTTTTTCTGCTTGAATCACTTTAAAAATATTCTAATCCCATGAAAAAATTGAAAATGCTGTTTAGTGTTTTCACATAAAGGTTTTATAAATCATAAAACCTGTTCAGTTTTAATATTCCAGTCTAACCAGACTAAATGCTTAAGATGATGTAGAAAGTCAAGCAAAAATCATCTTAAAAAGCAACACAAATAGTGCTTTAATTCAAAACCAAATTAGGAAGCCACTAAACAGCCTTATCTTTTGACAGAGGTTACTCAATCCACGTGGGGGCACCATTTCCACGATTAAGCATGCAAATTACAAATACAAAAAAAATCTTTTTCAGGCAAATCTTCTTCAACAGATTCCCTTAGTGGTTTACCCCTGGCTGGGCAGAAAGATAAAACACACCAAAAACAGTCACTGACTGTTTCCACTTTTTGACAGATTCATCAGTCCTTTAGTCCATAACTTTCACTTTAACGTGCCCTTTACCCAAACACTGTACTGTGACCTTAATAAAATAAGACAAGTACAATGGAGAGCAAGCTGACTCTGCTTTTATCTTTATGTTTTATTCACATCAGCACAAAATTGTCTCTAAATTCCTGTAATTTGTAATGCCCTGACCTTTGTTTCTCATGTTAAAAGTCCATGGAATGAGATCTATACTGAGCCATGTCATATTTTCGGCTTCCTACTCTTCTGACATACAGATCGTACCTCCCCTCTTTCTCCTCTTCCTCGTCATCTTCTTCCATAACTCTGTCCTGCTGCCACAGCACTCGATCCCTGATCGCAGGGTGACTATGCATTCGGCTTTGTTTTAAACTGGGCCAGCTCTTCTTCCGCAGGCTGTTGTTTATGCCCCTGACAGGAGGCGCAGCGGTCTGACTGTCCCTTCTGAACGGGGGAAGCTCCAAGGACGTGTTGCCCAAGACATTTGAACTGTGGCTGGGTTTGATGGAACTGATGGATCCCTGTGAACCGCAGTGATGTTCACGAACACAACGAGAGCCTGATGAAGATCTCCTCAGAGTCTGGAGGGACAGAAGTTCCTCTGAAAGATTCCTCAAGTCTCCAGGCATCTCCTAAAAAACAACAAAAAGATGAGGCATATTGTTTTAATATGCACACAAAGAAAATTGTAGGTATGTTGGTAAGTGATGAAAGTTGTGAAATTAACCTTGTCTCTGATAGAAAACAGCTCGTAGTGCTGAGGGTCAAACATCTTCTGGAGATGAGGATGTTGGAACAGTTTTTTCTTACGTATCACTACCTTGAAAATATGATTGAAAACAGTTCACACATGCATTTGTTGTTGAAAGAAAGTACACCCTCTTTCAGCTCTAGGTCTTTAGGTACCAATCAGGTCTGTGAAACTGTTTAAATCAAACATCAAACTTCAAAAACACAACAAATTCTACAATGTTATTACTTATGAAAGAAATAAATCAAAATGAAAAGATGTGTATGTGTGAAAAAACATAAGCACACTCCTAGATCCAATAGGACTCCTTTGATGGCAAAAACTTGAAGAAGCATTTTCTTTCTGTGATCATTGTTTGGAATTCAGAGGCAGAAACAAACATCCAATTTTTTTCATTTTTAACACACTCATGAACTTGTGCTTTTTTATTTTGCAAATAATGACAAGACAAGTTTTGAAGTGAGATTAGAATTGATTCACAGCCTAGATTATTTTATTATGTCCTGATTTGAAAAGCTCTGTGAAAGAAGGTTTTGATTACCTTTTTACGTGGTTGTTTGACTTGCACCATTATGGAGAAAATGAGGAGTAACATCACTACCCCGGTGGAAATGCAGATGATTGTTCCCTGAGTCTTTGTGATTTGAAGGAAAGCAATTTTGTTCTTTTTCTCTGGAATGTAGACATGAGGGAATATGTGAAGACAAGAAGAAAATATCAGAGGTTCTACTGCAGTCGTTAACTTGTTACCACAGATCAGTTTATATCAGCCTCCTAGCCAGTATCAATTTGGAACCTTAGTTGAATAAAAATGCGGAAATCTGCAGTAAATTTCACCTCAATAGGAGTTCTCTGCTTAAAGTCATGGTAAAAAGAAAATTGAAGGGTTTTACATATTTTGCCTGCTCAGTTTTTCACATACTTTTTCAGTCTTAATTTGATAAATATTGTAACTCTGGAATCTTCTCTGCGTTGTTTAGTACATATAAAGTTACATTGAGAGTTCTCAAACTTAGTGAATACCAGTTCGTTTGGATGTTAAAACCCCTGAACTGACAGAGGGTCCACTTTTTCATTCCCCTTACCGAATGACCCAAAACATTTTTAATGTTTTTAGATGTAAACAGGCCGAGATGATAAGCTTCTGAGTTTCCCACAGAGACGAATTTTCAAAACAATTCCTACAATTTGTTGTTCTGTGGATTCAGTGTACAATTTTTCACACAACTCTGGCGTCGTGATGTTGGCACGGCAGAGAAGTACAGGCATGACATGACACCAATATCTGTCAAACAGCACAAGCAATGTTTCTGGCAGTGTTTTGACAGAACTGGGGTACCTTGGCAGTTGTTTTCATCCCAGGGGAAGACACAGTTTTGTACGCCGTTGCACACCAGAGAGTTGTTGATGCACATGTTGCTGTGGCAAAAGAATGCACCGCCAATACAGGGAGCTAAAACACACACACATTGGTGTTGTATGGCACATACGCAGACAAGCCAGTTATAGACAGTTTATTCACGTTCAGCTGTATTTGTAAAGAACATCCGTCATGTAGAAAACTTTGGACACCCCACTCAGTATTCAGTACTTTCAAAGGAAATGCTTAGATAGCTGTTTAATAGCTTTTCTTTATCATTTAAAAAGTGATATGATTATATGTGAACACATAAACTAGACCATGTTTTACCAAGTAAACAAATTATTTTTATACATATATTGTAAAGAAAAAGTAAGGACACTCTATCTAAGTTTGATCTGGTTCTCACGTTCAGCAGGGAGATGTTTAATGGTTTGTTTTTTGCATTTACAGCCCATTTTATATTTTAACTGGAATATTTCAGGTCACTGTCACGTGTAAGGGTTCAGTTCTACTACGGCTTCAATATTTTTACATCTGTCAAGCAACGTCATGCAGATTTAATGATGGATTATATGAGGGAGAATTGGTCTGGTTATGGGGCAGTAAAGCATCCCCAACCATGAGACTTCCAGGTCTTTGTTCCACAGCTGGTTTGGGGTTTCGTTCCTGTAATGTTGCATCTCTGCTAAATAGTCCTGTGTTCTGTTGTCTAAATAGTTCAGAACCAAACTACTGTATTTTTTGGACTACGAGCCGCTACATTTATCCCACGCTTTGAACCGTGCGGATTATATCCCGGTGAGGCTTTTCTGTGGATTTTTCTTCAACCGCCAGGGGGCTCTTTACCAGGAAAGGAATCATTAGAAGTCAAAATTGGAAATCAAAGATTAAAGTGCAGATTTTCTTTTAGAATAAGTAAATGTTAGAAGCAGGCACAATGGGGAAAAGTTTTCAAACTCGTATCCCTCAGCACTATCATATTGATCTGATATGTACTATCAGATCGATCTGATAGTACATATCAAATTAATAACCGCTGCACGTAAGATCAGCGTGAACAAATACATGGTTCGGCGTTGGAGACGGAGGGCTGTGTCCTTAATAAATCCAGCAGGTTTATTAATAATTCCAGAGCGATGAAGATACCTCTAAACTGAAAACATGCAAAGAGAGACAAAGACGAGTCTGAAAGAGGAACTCACGGTCAGAGAAAACTGTGAACAGCATCTTGAAGCGGCTCAGTCGGCTTGTCTCATCCGCCCACATCCTCACCACTCCAAAACCAGTCTCCAGCATGATGTCATTAGCAACTGTACTACAAAACTTGGCCTGCAAGAAACCACATAGCACTTTTATCAAAATAAATAGTGCGCAGATTGATGAGCCTAAAGAATAAAAAAATATTGATTTTCCAGAATTAAACCAGCTGCTGATTAGAATAGATAAAGAATAATAATAATAATAAAAAAATAATAATAATAATCTAATTCCACTCTGGCCAATCGATGTTTGCATCTCTGTTTAAAATATGCTAAAATGTTAGACAGTTATTACCTTCAGGTCCTCAATGGCACTACTGCCATCATAAACAGCCACAAAATTCTTCTTACATTCATTAGAGTTTTCCATCTGATATTCCAAGAATTTCAAGTAAATCTGAAAGAAATTTTAAAAAGAGAAAAATCAGTGGGCTTGCTACTTTTTAAGCTAACATGTTGCCACAACATGTCAATCCTGTTATTTTAGCAACAGAAAATGCTGGAATAAAATATGCAGGGGCTGGAGACTCATCATTCTGTAGATAAACCCCATGTCTTTATCTCACACACGAGTTTATACATATAGCCTGTTCCCTATTTCTATATGCTTAGAAGAAGTGCTTATTTAGGAGATAATTGATGTATGCATAAATTAAACATGCCACATGCCATACCCTGCTCTTCATTGGGGCTTGTATGGTCCAAATGCAGTCCACTGCCTGGTCCGGCTTCACTTTGTTCTCCTCCTCAACCTGGTGGGAGCGGATCACGCCGTCAAACCCAGTTAGCTCAAACTGACAATCTGAACCACAGCAGACACAAAACATAACCAAGGAGCATAAAAAGAGATATGCAGACATAATCTGAGTTCTTCAGGGCATTGACTGACAGCCTGATCTAAGGAGATATGACTTGTGGTTGACCTACCTGGGATGGGGTTTAAAAGTCCTCCTACATGGAGATGAAATTCAGGATCTTTGCAGAAAATTACACAGAGTGTTTTTTATGTTTAAAAAAATAAGTAAATAAAAATGAAGTTTCTGTAAGAAATAACCAAAAGTAATTTATGCATTTCATTCACCTGCAGTAAAAGTGTACTGGACCTGAAATCCTTTCCCCTCAAGCTCATCATCACTGTAGAACCGGATCCACATGAAGCGCCCACTGGAGAGGACCCGGCCAGGATTGGCTGTGCCGCAGTAACGATTGATGAGTGTTGAGAAGCTGAAGGGACCGTCCCTCACCTCGATGTGGTCGAACCGACACTCAAAGGACGCTTCGATTTGGAAGATTTTGCTGAACTGCAACTCTATCCTCTGGCGGGGCGGGGCTGCAAAAACATGAGCAGTGTGTTATTTATTCTGCATCAAACATTATTAATAAAACAGCGCACTGAAAGAACAGTCAAAAGTGGATGTCAACTAACTTGCTTCCAGTAAATTGCCTTTCTTGCCAGAACAGATCAAATTTAACCTGTATAACCTATACAAAGGAATGTAAACAGGTGAAGTGAAAGACTCTGACATCAGCAAATGAAGTTCATGCTCATTGATCTATAAAAACATGTCCAGAATACACTTAAATAAAAATCAGCAATGGATGTAAAAAATTGTACACACCCTGGTTAAATTGCACGTTTTTGTTATGTAAAACAACTGAGGCCAAAATAAAATAATTTCAAAACTTCTTCCACTTGATGTGACATACGTCCTGTACAATTTCTCTAAAAATGCAAATCAAGATTTCAAATTTCTCTCAGATTTAGTTCTGTACTCTGATTGGCCAGACAATGATGTTAATTTTGATGCGTGCTTGGATTCACCATGACATTGATTAAAAACAAAAGCTCACTTTATCTTTTGTTTTTAGGAAAATATTGGAATCTCTTGGGTCAAGGATGACTGGCATTAAAGTGTTTCATTATATCCTCCTTCCTGAAAAAAATAACTCAGTTTCATCTGAAAAGTAATCCCTGGCATGTCACTACTACTGCCATTATTAAGAGAATGAGGTTCTTTTAGATACTTTTTTAAATATTTGGTGGCGTTGTGTGATAAAAACGCTCCTTGTAAAACCACCAAAGTTCACACTTGGCTTCATCAGACTACAACACATTCTGCCACAAGTCTTGAAAAGCTTTTAACCAATACTGAGTCTTTTCCTTTGCTTTTTAAGCTCATTTTTCTTCCCACATGTGGAGAATCCAGCAAATCGTTGCTGTGCATAAATGCAACTTAAACTGTTGTAAACTTATGCAGCTTCTTCAGAGTTATTGTTGGCAGGTTTCTTTCTTATGTTTCTACATTGGTTAGAAATTTACAGCTTTGCAATGATTCTGATGTTCCACATTTTCTCATGGTATTTCTTTAACTGAGTAATAAATATAAAATGCTGTTTATGTGTTTTTACTCTCCTCCTGACTGATATATTTCTACATTAAGATATTTTCTAATTCTTTCTAAACTCTGCAAAATGCAAGAGTATAAAGTTTTGAAATTTTATGACAGTCTCTTTTTTTACATTACAAAACTTGTCATTTTATGTACCTTCCAGTACATAAAGGCACTCCTTGTTTGGAGGGTACGTATTTGGGTAGTTTGGCGAGCTGAAGCTTCCACCATCTGTTTTCCGAACCCAGGTCCCACAGTGACGGTTGTTCCTCGACTGCTCAGGAGGTCTGCTTTCCTTAGATCCTGCACCTCCATCTACAAATGACATAAACGTCTTCAGTCGGTTGGGAATGTGTACACACTTGTCCAGTCCTATTAAAGAGGTTAAAAGTCAACGAGAAGACAAAAATTACCTTTAATCTTCTGTGCAAGAGAAAATCCCTGTTTGGTGAATAGAAGGAATATCCACACTATACGAGAAGCCATTGGTACACGATGCCACAATGAGGAGGGGAACAATCAAGGAATAAGAGAAAGATAGAAAGAGCTTAGGAGGATTTGCTTTCCCATGGTTGTTGTCTTTGTGTATCTACCAGAATCTCTTGATGTAAATAAGAGGTCAGAGGTAAGGAGTTCAAAATCCTGCATGGAGCGTGAGACCTTGATGCTTTTACCATCTGTTTGCTTTCTCAGCTCTATCGTTCGCCAACATCCTTTTGTGTGGGTTTTTTTCTTCAGTTTGCTTAAGAGCTTAAACGAAGGGCAGAACCATTGACAATCTGCCACCTTTGATTTAATGCAGGGGTCTCGGATAGTAAACAGAGAAATCACGTGGCATCATTCAAACACTGCATTTTATAATAAAGTTTCAATTTCCTGCTGACCAAAAGTTACTGAAAAGCCCTTTGAGGATCTTGACCGAAGTCATCTGATCTTATTTTACTTTTAATGTGCAAACAATTTTAAATCAGTTTTCTTAAATCCGGCCATGTGCAGCACAACTTAAATGAACACAAATGTAATTTAAAAAATAAATAAAAAGATAATTACCATAAATACAGTAATAATAAAATGATAAAAATATGCTATGTTTCATCACAATGTCTACACTTGATTATAATGTAAATGGAAGGCAAAATTCAAAGCTTTAACTCAGTTAAAATAAGAAAAAATTCAATTAACACTTTACTTAAAAAATAAATTCTTTCTCTTTTTAAAGTGAACAAGCAGTGCTAAACCACTTTTAGATCAGAACATGCAAAATGTTAAATAAATGAATCTAAGAAGCTTATACTAGATTCCCTGTGACCAGTGGATTTAAACTGCAAATGACAGATATAGATTTGTGAACAGCATAATATATGTCTAAAAAGAAAGCGCTCAGATTAAAGAAGCCCCTGCCACTCTATAATCCACCTCAATCGCTAGAGCAAGAAAGCATATCTAAGAAAACAAGTTGATCTCACTCACCTGCAAGCATATTTTAGCTGGACTTTATATTCAAACTCTACCAACTGCATGTCCCACACATCCCCTTTTAAGTCTGGGCTTCGGATTAGCGCATGGTGACATTACTGATTTTCAAGATCCGGTTTCCACATTTTCATCAGAGTGAGACAGCCTTGGGTGAAGAAAACATCGGAAAAAGTTTGGATTCATCATCGGCATTCCCTGACATGACAGGTTTCCAGGGTAAACAGACAGTCCCCACAAAGCTCAGCTTTCTGCTCTCCTATAAACTGACGATCCCTCTGCAGATGCGGGAGGCTTTAAGTCTGAGTTCAGTTGGCGCTGGATGAGGGAAATGATGATTGCGCATGTGCCTCATCCTCATAATAGCAGTGTTGTAAGTTATTTGATAATACAGCCATGTCATGCTTTGGGTTAGTTACTTAAATTGGGAATTCCCTTTTGGAAGCATTTAGTTGAGTCATTTGCAGGAAGGAAAGGCATTTTCACTGTGTTTTAAAATTAAAAGCAAACAAAAGCACCCATTTCTAAGAAACTTTGATTTGGAGATTTTGGGGGGTTTGTCTTGATTATCTAATGCATCCTCCAACTTCTGACTGACCCGCAGCCCAAAGGATCAGATCAGTCATTGTCTCAAGAAGAAAATTACTAGCTGTGCTGAGTCATGTGTAATGGAGTGGGACAAAACAACTTTCTTCGAATCACTACAGTTGTTGCTTGACATTCTCGCCATGTCCACAGGATGCTCAAACTGAGAGAATACAAGCGCTACTTAGTAGGTTCCAAAGAAAATTAATTAATTTAATTTGATGTCTATGTGTCTAGCAGTTTATCTCTGTGTATTTTACCTTTTGTTTTCTGTCCGTTTCAGCTACTTTGGCAAGAAGTTCCCATCTTCCACATGGTGGAGCACCTTCCAACACCCCGTTTTTCTGCTCTTTCTTCTCATATGTCTTCATCCTTCAGATTTTGTCTCTGAGCATCAGATGTCACTGTGTAGATTATGTTGAAACTAACAACTCTTTTGCATGCATTCTGGGCAGTGTTTAAATGCATAAAAAACAGCATTGCTGCAAATAAGCAAGATGTTTATTTATACAGTCGATGTGTAATTTACATTTTACTTTTATATTTCTTGGAGGAGCTTCAAAGCTGTTCGCTAAAAACGCATTATCCACATGAACTTACACTTGATATTTACTCATCACCATTGATGATTCTTAGCATAATACCCAGCTTAGAGTTCAGAGCTGCGCTGTCCCAGGAGGTCGAGCCCTGAGAGTTAACGCAAATATCCGATTCTTAGACAGATGCAGACATATCATCAGGCAGGACGAGCTGCTGCTAAACTCTGTTCTTATCTCCGGCCCGTATGACAATAGATTACACAAAGACAGGAAATAACTGACCTCATAAAACAAATGCGAGCCCTCCAAGCATCTTATACTCCAATCTATCAACCACACAGATTTTTACAGATGTGTCATAAAGCTACACAAGGGACTCATTTTGAACTTTGTTTTCCTCACAACACAGCAGATTAGAAAAAGTTATACAACAAACTGACCCCATTAGACAAATATCAGACAGAGAATCTTGTGGTGTATGTAAAATCACTGGTGGGATAAGGTTTTCTTGTTCATAGATATTTGAGATTACAGCCCCCTGACTTATCTGTAATCCCATGATTGTGTCTTTAAATTGACGTTTCTTCATTGGATCTGTTCATGCTCAATTCCAGTTGCAGTGGTCGAGCTATTTGTTCTACCTAGAAAAAATATCCTACAATTTTTGGTCACTTTATTATTTAGTGCTCTTGTTTAATTTCAACCAATCAAATGGCAGCAACAAAATCCTTTCAGGTACACAAGACATTTGCTGAAGTTCAAACTGAGCATTGAAAGGAGATTTAAGTGACTTTGAACTAATCTAAATGTTTGGGAATTTTCCAATGGTCAGAATAAGAGAAAATATACAAAAAGACAAGACAAAGGACAGAATATGACTTTCTCAAGGTTGCATAAAAACATGGACAGGTTTACTTCAACTTAGTTTCACAACTAAGTAGGTAAAAAACAAAAAGTCCCTTTCCTTACATAGGTGTTAAGTGATTTGTCCTGTTGTCTTTGTGATAGTTTGTCTTTATACTAGAACCAACATTTAATAATATGATTTTGGATTTTATACATATTTACTGTCACAGATAACATAATTTTTTATCTGCTATTTTTTATCTGTGCCAGCTGGAAAACCTTCAATGAATCAAACTCTTTCTAAGCTGGTGCTCTTCTGCACCATATGGCCAGTCGCAACGTGGCTTCCCGATTTTCTAGTTTTCTGAAACAGATGGGCAATGATAATGACACTTATTCACAGCAGGGATAGGTCTGTTGCAATAACTTTAAGATCAAGATATCAGGAGCTCAGATTAGATTCAGAATGGATAAGGTAAAATGTATGAACTCTGCTAATAAACTTATAATTTCCAGTAAAAAAAATAAATAAATCATATTACCATATAAATGTTTGCAGAGTTGCATGTTTAACTTTTTGAGTTTCATTCCGCTTCTTAGACATTGTGACAGTAACATTAGATGTGTAATAAAGAAAACCATCATACTGATGCTCTTATATAAGTAACTTTAAGACTTTTTGGTCATGCTTGAGCTGAAATTCAGCATGCAAGAAAAACAGCAACAAGATTTATGCCATTAGTGCAGAGAAATCTTCTTACAGCCTGATCTTTGGATGTGGCAGGAAGCCTGGGGAGGATGAGTCCCATGCTGAACTCAGTTCTGCACAGATGGATTTTTTTAATGTATTGATTTTTTTTTTTTTTTTTTTTTGCTATGTGCTTAACTGAGCAGTGAAATATATAAGAGGAGTTAGTGGCAGTCTTTTCAGTATTATTTTTTATTGTTTTAATAGAAGGTGTTTGCTTTTTTTAAATTTTCAACCGAAAGAGCTTTGCACATGTCTAGCATGTCTACTCTGGTAAATAGTCATCCGTGATCTGTGGTTCAGTTGCTAAGAGCTATCTTCTGTAAATAATAACACAGATGTCGTGAGAGATTCTGAGGATTTTTGTTCCAGTTGTATTTACCAGTTAAAGCCTCTGATTATTTGTTGTTCCTGAAATGCACTAGACTTGAAAGCTTTAGGGGAAATTGCATTGTGCGTGTAACATGCTGGCTGACTTGAGATTTCTTTTTTTTCTTTCTCACTCTTCTTTTCCTGTTTTTAATTTAGTCAAATATGCAAAGCTGCTCTTTGCAATCAAGGCCTAAGCACTTGGCATCGGAGCTTAAGAGAGATAATTAAAAGGGCCAAGTACAAGATGGCAGCCCTGTGTGCAGAGTGACAGAAAGTGAAAATCTGATACAGAACTACTGGAGACTTGGAGATCAAGTGTGTAGCACTTTGGTTTTTAATGTAAAATAAATAAATGAGGTATTTTAAGATCTTGCAGAAACCTTGTATATTCTCAATTAATTAAAAAAAACAAATTGATTAAATTTCTTTATTAAATTTCATTAAATTGAGAATATAATAAATTTTACATTTAATTTATTTTCTTTTCTCAAATAGAAAAGAACTATAATGCAATCTAAAGACAGTTTTGTTTCGTGATAGTGGTTGAGTGTTCCTGATCACAAGGGGGCGCTAACAGGTTGCTATGCACTGAATCCAACTGCGAGTGGCGCTAAGGAGTCTCATTATTTAACAACGCAACACGTTACTTGATTCTTTCACAGGCAGAAATATAATGGTGGTCTGACCAATCCTGAATGTAAACTCTGAAACTGGAAAGAGGCTGGTAAACTCAGCCGTGCCCTGCGTAGCGACAAACATGGCGGAAAGACAGCGGGCGCTCCCTTCGTGGATGGCAAAGAAAGAGCTTAAAGTGAAAGAAAAGACGCCATTGAAGACTCAGAGAAAAAGAAGGGCTCCAAGGTAGCGAAAAAGACAACAATAGCTCGCCAGTTTTAGGATTGTGGTGCCACTAACAGCTACGCTGTGGTTTGTCCTCAGAGTTACGTTTTACTGCATGAACGAGGCGGAGCTGGTTGAAGCCGCTGTTTCATTTCTCACCCGGAGTTCCGACAAGGAGGCGTCGTTCCCGCTTGACCAGAAGGTGGCGCTGTTTTGCATGGTTCCTCCCACCCCCCTTTTCTTAACTTCTATTTTTGATGCCCAAATTCGTTAAAACAGGTGTATCACCTACAAAAGGACATTACTGTTGATTTCTTAAAAAATTAAAATAGATATATTTAGAGAGGAAAAATATAAACAATACAAAAATAACAAAATTTAAACAAAAACAAAATATTATTTGGTGAGTTCTCATTTTTGTGAGGAGAACTTTTGAGATCATTTCTTCATCAGAAGTTGATTAATATTTGGTGTTAATGTGAGCTGTGTTAATGTGAAGATGAAGTTGCATATAGCTTAACATAGTGGCCTAATTCATGTTTTCCAAATGTAATTTTGGAAAGATTTTGCTATGTTTTTTTTTTCTTGACACCAAAAAATAAATTTTAAAATAAATTCTAAAATTTATTTTAGAAAAGTAACAAAATGTTTGTTGAAATATGCAAGCCAATCAGTACAACATTATGGACTCTGGCAGGTTACGTGAATAACACTGATAATCTCTGTTAATAGCTGGGAAATATTAGAAATCAAGTTAACATTATGTCTTCAAAGTTGGCCAGGAAAAATGCACAGCGTTTGACATGAGTTTAATAAGGGCCAAATTGATGAACGGGTCAAAGCATCTAAATAATTATAGCTTTGGTGACATGTTTCCAGTCATTGTTTGTTAAATAGCGGACCAAGTGAAGAACAATTATGAACGAGGAAGAGGGTTGTGGGTGGCCAAGGTTCACTGATGCACATAGGCCATGAAGCAACCTGGTTTGATGAATCGTGCTTTCTTCATGCGTGCACATAGTTTATTCAGAAACAAGGCAGAATATCACTTTGACATGTACCTCACTCCCTCTGAAACACAGGTTGAAGGAAAAGCAAATCACACCTCCAGAAAGGAAGTAGACCCAGACACTTTGGAGATAAAATCAAAGCCAGTGACGTCGCCTGTAGAGGAAGAGTCCTCAGACTGCTGTGATGACCTGGAAACGACATACGTTTCAGAAACAGACTTGGAGATTACAGAGGTGGAATCTGTGCCCTACTGCAGGAACCCACAGCATCCTGAACCCGAAGGGGAGAGATCAGCATCTGCCCAAGGTCATTGCGGACCCAACAACAATTTGCAAGCTGAGAAA